CCCTAACCGCAATTAGTAATGAAAAAATTGAAATATAATACCATCTCGAATATCGACTTGCAAAGAGCTCCTTATTGAGCAAAGGTTGCAGAGATATATTGCAATGCTATGAGAAAGAGATGTTAAATTATCGATATTTTTGGTAATATCGATATCATCGATTCAATATCACTCCTCTCTAACTGTAATAACGAGCATAAAATTTGTTCATTCAACATACAGTAGATTCATCGTATTAAGTGATTTGCCTTTATTACAATAAGTATTATTTTTTGTGCGATTTTGCTTTCATTTGAAAATAAATTTAAATCGGTACCAAAACCCCTGAACTAGCAACATGACCTCGACCACACAGACGGTGAGAAATGTCGTCATTCATCAGTTGGACGTAAATCAATTGTGCCGACCAATACTCTATGAAGTTTCAATGAAAGAACCAAAAAGAGTTGGATATTTTTCCTGTTATAATACTGATAAAGTCTTCAGTCAAGATGTATCATCTTTACGCTATTTGGACTTACCTAATCCAGTCAATATCAACTGTCTACAAGGGTATGACCCTGATAAAAAGTATGGTCATGTTGTGTCTAGAGACCTGCTCTTGCTGCGTTGGGTCTTAGACAACGAAGAAATAGTGCAAAAGTTTCCTTCGGATTTCATCTGTAATAATGGTCTAATAAAAGACATGATGACTGTCAAGAATTGCAGTTTGGATTGGAACCTTTGTGCAACCAAAATCGGAGGAAAAATCGTCCTAAATAAGATCGAATCGATTGAGCTGAAAGATAGGATTGCTAATCAATCTGCTATAAACAATCAATCAACTTATGCAGCTAATAATTTGCAACGTTTGATTACCAAGACTGCCAATGATCATAAATGCACTTCTGGAAAAGAAGAGGGTTCATTTTATGGTGTTTTTCACTCTAAGATTGGGTCTCATCGGTTACTTCATGCTGGATGGCTTCATTGTGTTGAAAGTGAACAAGAACTGGATAAACCATTCGAGGAGATGAAGTTTATTCTGATTAAAAAATTCAATGCTCCAAGAGAGTCGCATTCACTTTGGCACAGTATCACATGGTGGTCATTGGCTAAACTTGCTGGAGTCGATACAGTTGTTCGTGCTAAATGTGATCTAGATTTTACAGTTAAAAGCATCGATAAGTTGAAAGTTGACGGTTTAATTAATAAAAGATTTCAAACGACATTCGTTGCTTCATTGAACAAGGTTTTGGATTTCATCAAAGCAATTGTTACTGAAGAAAATAAATGTTATAACTTTAGTTTCAATGGTAAGGATAAAAAGCTCATTGGATACATGAAGATAGGACCAGATGAAAACATGATTCCATCATGGTATACTGATGTTCAACTTTCTAAAAAATCTTAATATCCATCCATTGCATAATTACATTTTACCTTAAGTTGATTTAAATATTTTTTGAATAAATAACTTTTTTGTTAATAAAGAGCAATTGTTGCATTAACTTTGTTCCTTGTTGTGGTAGTTACCGATTCCAAGTCTACGAAAACAAGAAAGATGCTTTGTTTGCACAAAGTTGTTAATCGATTTCATCAAAGTACTGAATTAACTGGTTCAATCTTTGTCTTTATAAGCACCCAAATTGCCTCATCAAAACGAAGTGAATAAAAATATCCTTTTCTGCCACTCTATTAGGTACATGAGAATCATGAATCTGATGAAAAATCTAATCCAATAGCTGTACAAAATTCGATTGAAGGTTGAGCTCAGAACATGATTTCCTTGAAATCCGTTGGCTAAAGAAATTCTTGTTAAAAAGTCTTTTGAATGCCACAATTTGTCTCATTTAAACATTTGAAGCTATGATTATATAAATGACTAGATTTGATTTTTAGTTTAATTGCCCTCTATTTGAATCAATGGCAACTGATTTTGGAAAAGTGGACCAAATTCACCCAAATTGCAATCTATCTGCAATACCCAAAGACTTGTAGATGTTGAATGTGAGATTTGGTTGATTTTGACCCACTAATTTTTGCTCTTAGAACTTTTTACAACTTCGCTTACGCTCCGATAATCACAAAAATATGTATTCGAATTCGCATTCAATAATTCTTTATCTTCTGATCTTTTAATGATATGTCATGATAATCATCGATATATCGTAGTAGCATGTAGTAGAAGCATCTAGTCGCTCCAAGAATAATTTTATTATTTTATATTGAAGTAATAATTACACCTCTTTTTTATGTAACCATGTTTTTATCTAGCATTGTGATTCATTATACAAAGTTATTTTGTCTTTGATACATCGTGTTTACTACCATTTTAGTGTGCTTAAATAAGTTCAAATTTGAAATTCAATTTATCTCGACCCCGTAGACATTGAATCAGCAATATGCCCTCGACCGTTCAAACAACAAGTGCTACAATCATTGATGAGCTAGACCTGAACCCATTGTTCAAAGGAACAAGTGAGGTTTCACTGGAAGGACCAAAAAGACTTGGATATTTTTCATGCTATGATAATAATAATGATAGTGTTTTCAGTCAAGACATATCAGCTCTACGGTACTTGGACTTACCTAATCCAGTCAATATCAACTGTCTACAAGGATATGATCCAAATGTAAAGTATGGTCACGTTGTATCTAGAGATATGCTCTTGCGATGGGTCTTGGACAATGAAGAAACAATGGAAAAGTTTCCTTCGAATCTCATCTGTAACGGTGGTTTATTGAAAGAAATGATGGTTGTTGTGTATAATGATTACAATTGGAGCGCTTCTGCAATCAAAGTCAGAGGGAAAATTGTTCTAACTCGGATCAAATCGATTGAGGAAAAAGAAAACATTGATTCACAAACTGAAGATGACAACAAATCAACTTATGCAGCTAATAATTTACAACGTTTGATCTCCAAGAATAGCAATGATCATAAATGTACTTCTAGAAAAGAAGTCGATTCATTTTATGGTGTTTTTCACACAAAAATTGGGTCGCATGGGATAATTTATGATGAATATTTGGACTGTGTTGAAAGTAAACGAGAACTGGATAAACCATTTGAGGAAATGAAGTTTGTTTTGATTAAAAAGTTCAATGGGCCGAGAAATTCGCATTCACGTCGGCACAGTAGCACATGGTGGTCATTGGCTAAACTTGCTGGAGTCGATACAATTGTTCGCGCTAAGTGTGATCAAGATTTTACTGTTGAAAGCATCGATAAGTTGGAAGTTGACAGTTTGCTTGGCAAACGCAATCAAATGAAATTTCTTGCTTCATTAAACAGCATTCTTGATAAAATCAAGGATAATGTTGCAGAGGAAAATAAATGTTATAACATTCATTTCAACGGCAAGGATAAAAAGTTGACTGTTGAGGTGAAGAGGGAACCAGATGAGGACATCATTCCATCATGGTATATCGATGGACAACATCCTGACATATCTCAATAACCATTTATTTGAACATTACATTGCTATACCGGGTGTTGGAAAAGACATTTTCAAAGTGCTAAAACAAAAAACGCATTACGAAAAAACGCAATATTGTCCGATAAAATCGTCCATTTTATGCAATTTTAATTTTCGACCAAAACTTAATTAAGAACTAATTGAAAAATTCAAGAAAGTTGAAAAATTTGGCAGCGAAAAAATGATTTAAAGGACTTTTGCCACACCCGACATCTTAAGTTGATAAAAATAGATTTTTGAATAAATAATTGTTTTGTTAAAAATGATCAATTGATTAATTTTGTTGATTGTTGTACAAACTTTACACATTCAACGGATTTAACGCATAAACAATTTATTCTTTACCATTAAAAGAAGTTTGTTTCAACAAGGTTTGTTTGTCGGTTCATTCAAAATTTTGAGTTACCCAACAAATCTGGTTCAATGATTTGGGTTATTTTGAGCAAAGAGCTTTGAGCAAAAACCTTTTGCGCTAAGACATTCAAGAGCAAAACTGATTAGAGCAAACACAATTTTAAACTCAGGTTTAGTTTTCGTCATAATCGAGATCAAATTTGAAACTTTCACCGGCTTTTGTTCAATTATGGAAGCAGATTTTTCATCAAACTCAATTAAAAATGTAAATTTCGATGAAAAATCAGAAAATGTACAGCCGATCACTTCGATTTTCAGTTAGATCGACTGCTTTCTGTGGCCGTAAAAGTCAGAGCTTAAACTTATCATTCGTCGATAAAAATTGTTGGTACACACCATCGTTTTAACACTTTTTTCAGTTTATCGACAGTTCTATTGATTTTGACCATTCATTAGATGTTATTATCGATTACAAAAATAATATGATATATTTTTTGTAGGATCTTGAATGATCTAAAATTTAAGAATGATTTCTGAAAATTATCAACAATTTTTGAGCAAAATTTGCTCAAATCTTCTTAGCGCAAACGGATTTTGCTCAAATCTTTTTGCTCAATTTGACCAACACCGGTTCAATCTTTGTCTACCTAACAACCCAAAGTGCTTAAAATATCCTTTAGACTTTAATATGAAAATTAACTCAAGATAGACAGAAAAATAGACACAACTGTGTGAGAGGATAATAAATTGAATCATTTTTCTTTCGTATTTTAACACTTGAATGTTCAAATATCAGGCTACATTTCTTATTGTTTCAGTTCCAAGTTTTCAATTCATGAGCTGAAATTTAATGCCCATTAACTGAGAATCAAGTGACTTATTTGAAAGATAAAATGCATTTTAGTTTAATAAATTAATTTCCAATTAGCTGAGTTATCAGTTTTTAATCAGTTCAAGACTATTAAGTTAGATACTGTATTAAATCACTTGGACTTCAATAGATTCTAATGCTAAGAGTTACTCTTTGAACTATCGTTTCTTTTAATATCCCGATGTTTGGGTTGAAACTTTGTATAAAAACTTACAGTTTCAATGTTTGATAACAATTAACTGAAGAATCTTGTTCGTGTATCTTGTTAATAGTTATCAATAATTTTTTTGTGTATTTAATGTAACAGTTTTGAAATGCTTACAATCAAACAATTAAATAACTCTGCAACAAAACATGAATTAAACCTGAAAAAGGTTGAATCCAGTTGGATCTCTTTGAAAGGACCAAAAAGATTGGGATGCTTTTCAAGTTATTACAATGAAGAAAATGTTAAAATCTATTGTCCAGATAAGTCACTTCTAGCATATTTGGATATACCTGAGCCCCTCTTCATCGATTGCCTGCAAGGATACGATCCTAATGTCAAGTATGGTCATCAGTCAATTGGTAATATCCACTTATTACGTTGGGTTATGGACAATGAAGCGACCCTTGAAGACTATCCTTCAGACTTTGTCTGTTACAACGGACTGTTGAAGGATATGATGATGTCTAGATACATTAAAGATCATTGGGATTTTTTCGCTATCAAGATTAAAGGAAAAATTATCATGCTGAGAATTGATTCCAAAAAGAAACAAGATTACATTGATGAACAATCTGCATGGAACAACAAATCAACTTATGTGGCTCTCAATTTGCGACGTTTAATCACAAAAACTGACAATGGACATGAATCTAATCTAGTCAAAGAGGGAGAGTCCTGTCATGGTATTTTTCACTCAAAAATTGGATGCCATCGGATACTTCATGCTGGATGGCTGGACTGTGTTGAAAGTAAAGAAGAGTTAACTAAACCCTTTGATCAAATCAAGTTTGGTTCCATCAAAAAAATTCAAAATCATCATGAGACAATTTCATTTAACGCAGGCAACACTTGGTGGTCTTTGGCTACTCTTTCTGGAGTTGAAACAATTACCTGTGCAAGATGTGAATATGACTTTACTGTTGACCATATCGATAAGTTGAGTGTCAGCAACCTGATTCCTAGAGAAAGACAAATGGAGTTTTTCACTTCATTAAATTTAATGCTTGATTACATCAAGTCAATTGTCACAGAGGACAATCAATATTACGACTTTTACTTCAACGGTACGGTTAAAACGTTGACTGGATGCGAGAGAATGAATTCAAATGAAAAAATCATTCCATCTTGGTACGTGGACGGACAACTTCCTCATGTATCTTGACCCCATTTGAACATTATAGTTTCCCATTTACAGGTGATAATGACTGATAAATTGATAGCTTTAACTGTTAATTAATAAACTGGTTAAACCTTCTTAGACATGTGATTGTTTCCATGGTAAAACCAGAATTAGTCATCGCTGACTGACGTTTGATGAAAGGGATAAACTTATGTAACGTTACATTCATAAACCATTGTTTTTCAAGTCACATTTTTGTTTAATTCAGTTAATGTTATTGTATTTTTTTCAACTCTAATCAACTCAATGCATTCAAATCAACAAATAAAAAATAATGCTTTTAATAAAAATGAATTGGATCTGAAAGTTCTCAGACCGAACAGATATCTTTCTTTATCTGGACCAAAGATGTTAGGGTGTTTTTCGTGCTACCGCAGTGATAAAAATGTTGATGTTTACTGTCCAAATAAATCATCTTTACGATACTTGGACTTGACTGAACCAGTCTCGCTCGATTGTCTCCAAGGATTTGATCCAAATGTAAAGTATGGACATCTTTCGATTGGAGACATGCACTTGTTGAGATGGGTCTTGAACAATGAATCGACTATTCAAACCTTTCCCATGGATTTCATCTGTTACAATGGATTTGCTAAAGATTTGATCGTTGCTCCGTTCACTCAAGCCGATTGGAACATAACTGCTGTTAAGGTTAGAGGAACAATTATAATCAACAGAAGTGAATCAAACCAGCGAAAGACGAGTGTCGATGTTCAATCTGAGTTTGACAGTAAATCGACATACACAGCTCTGAACTTAGAGCGTTTGATTACCAAAAATATCAATGACCATGAATATGCTTCGGTCAATGCAAGAGATTCCTTTTTTGGTGTTTTCCATTCAAAAATTGGTAGACATCAAATACTGCACACTGGACGCTTGAATTGTGTCGAAAGTAAGGAAGAATTGGATAAGCCTTTTGAAGAAATGAACTTCAATATCATCAAAAAAGTACATGGGAACAAGAGAACAGGTCCATCAAGGTCTAAAGCTTTGCTTTGGTGGTCATTAGCTATTTTATCTCGTGTCGAAACAATCATCTGTGGAAGGTGTACTGAAGATTTCACGGTTAATAAAATAATCAGAATCAAAGTTGATGAATTGGTTCCTCGTCACATGCAAACGAAGTGTTTTACTTCGATGGATGCCATACTTGATTTTGTCAAATCAAAAGTTAAAGAGGAAAATAAATATTATAATTTTGCTTTTGATAGCATGGCCAAGAAGGTTAACTGTTATTTGAAACTTGGATCAAAGGAAAACAGCATTCCTTCATGGTATATGGATGGACAATTTCCTCTTGAACCCTAATAACCATTTATTTTGACATTTAAAGGTGACAATGGCTAGTACATTAATAAACTGGTTATGCTTCTTAAACGTTATTGTATCCTTGGTAAACTTCAAAGAAAGTTTGACCAAGAAAGTTATCAGTTACTGGGATAAAATGAGCCCATCATTCCACCATGTTATATTGATTTATGTCGCTTGCTTAATTTTTATGACTTTGTATTCTGAATTAATAATTTATCCAATTATTTATCAATTTTTAAAACAATAATTTGAATAACTTTTTCAGGAATCAGCAAAAAGGACCAATTTTTCTTAAACAAATCTACTGAAAATAAGAAAAATTTTGCCAAAATTTCAAGCAATTTTGTACTTTCATTAAGCATTAGTTTTGAAATATCCATTTCAACGTTAAAATTTTCGTATGTATTTTAATTTTTACAAATTTGTTTTCAAATAAATAAAATTTAAGATGTGATTCGTCAAGATTTAAGCTATTGATCGTGAAAAAATATTTCAATTTGCCAACCAAACTTTTAAAAAGGAGTGTTTAATATCCCAATCAATTTTCGTATCCTGAATTGGTTTACAAATCTTTCTTGTGAACTGTTAGACATTACTGGTAATATATTGAGAAAACTTACTGGTTATCCAAATATTTCAAAAAACTGATGGTTGGTCTGTAAATTTTCAGGTAACATTCTCGATATGTCCCTTTTACTGCCCAGCTAACTTAACTCTGAACTCATAGCAATTGAACTGGCATTGACTTAAGATCAATTTAAAACAACTAAATTACATTGATTTCAATTTCCATTATCAAAATGGTCAAACACAAAATCAGTCAATTGATTGTTTCAAATTAACCACTTGTCATTGCTTTTTCAATTTCTATGGGTTTAATTTATCTGTTGTTTGCTAACTATTTTGGGTTCAGTTAGCTGGCAGTTAGTGTGGACTCATCTTCGACGTTACCAGTTTCATTATGAAAGAAGACTCAAGATATTCGAATATCTATCAGACTTTTATTCTACAATGATAGTCGATGATCTGGATTATCTGATAATATTGATGTCTCTTATATGGATGGATGGTAAATCTTTAGTCTTCAAAGTGGATCGTGAAGTTGGAATAATCAAAAATTAAATTGGAAGATTAGAAGAGTTCAGTTAGTATAAATACATGTTTACTTTTATTACTAAATTGTGAAATATGAATATGAATTTTTTACAAAATTAAATTTTAGAAGACTATTTGTCAACATGGACGTGGAAGAAATGACCAAATGTTATTTTGTTAGGTATTTTAAATATTGAATGCACTATAAATGTCATGGCTGTTATGGAAATATTTTTCGTCGTTTATTCGGTTTCAGGTTCAGTGTCTTCAACCTCTTGATCGAGTTCACTCAACATTTTATCATGTGATAAAGCTCTTTTATATTGCAATTTGAACATGTGAGGCTCATATCCATCACCATAGACTTCACAGACCCACTTGAGCAATTCAAGCTTGTTAATCTCGTATTCAGCTCGGAATCCCCATGAAAACATGAACTCTTTTTTCTCATTTCTACCTATATCTTCACGTTTTAAGTACATCTGACGAATCCAAACAGAGTGTAACAAGTCTTTTAAAACTATAGAAGCGTGGTTGTATGTCAGTTTAGTTTCTGGTGTGAGATTTATTTTATTCATGAATTTCCACAGATTTTCTATTGAAGGAAAAGACGAATTAGTAATGTTGACGAATAACAATTTAGATAAACGTACCTTCACGAGTTTCTCCTCCATTCATAAATATTACAGACAATATTGGAATCAAAATTCCATGAGTATTATCGATTTGACTAGTGATTTCTGGTCTCCACAGACTACTATCTCTTATAACAGTTACAATGATGTAAGAATTTTTCTCAGGTGTTTCCAACACTTTCAGACCAAATACATTGAACAGAGCTTTTTTACAAGCATCAAAAATATCACCAAATTCACGTGTATTATCAGGAATAACGTAACGAGTAATGTCTATGGGGATAGCGAAATGGAAAAGAAGCAATGGAATGAGTTATGTTCAAGAATATTGAGTGAAAAAATAGCAACTCACCTGTACGTTTTATTGGCATCTTTTTTTGATCGGCCACAAGTAAATATTGAACCATATTAATAACATTTTGATCCTGATTAGAAAGAGGGAAACAACAATAATTAGCAGATATTACATCACATAGATGGTGATATTATATCACCATAGACACAATAAGATTTTCAGCTGGTTTTAGCCTAATACTAATTGGATACATGATTACAGAAAGAAATAGAGTATTGTACTTACCATTTTGTAACAGTAGATTAATCTAACCAACGATAATTAACAACGAGAATTACAATTGAGGAAGTCACTTGCCTATCAAAACAATGGTCTTGACTCTTGAAAATGAGAGGGAAATAAGCAAAATGAAGAGAACAATGTGAGAATAGGCGAAATAGGAAATAAGAAGCTTTACTCCAGATGGTCTTAAAATATACTTACCTCGTGAGAACCAGATCACATTGGATTTTAATTAAACAAATTTCTCATTAACACAATTAGTGTTAATAAGTAAAGTAACAAACGAAGGAAGATTTAAAAAAAGGAAGCCTCTTTGGTTTTTCAAACTTAAACAAACTCAAGTTAGATTTGGCGGTTTTTGTGAAATTAGCTACTGCAAGTTATAAATAATGAATTTTACAATTTTGGAATCGACATACGCACTGGATTTCGACCAATTCGGATTTTACTAATTTAAATTATGAAGCAAAGTAATTATTACCTACTCTAAGCACATTTAACGAAAAAATAAAACAAAAATCACTAATTTCCAAAGAGTTATACTCTTTGCTAATTTCACTAATCACAGAATCTTGATACCATTTATGATCAAAATTTCATTTAAATCATTCTAAATTAGGAATCAAAGCTAGTAATAAACTCTGAATTTGTAAGGATCATTGAAAGACTATCAATAATGGGGAAAATTAATTACTTGGAGCAACCATTGTCAAACAAACAGGCAATATTTGAAACTGGCTAATTTGATTTGATGAACAGTAGATTGAAACGCAATTTTCAAATCACTTAGATTTTCATCTAATCTTTACTTCAATCAATTGTTATGCAAGTGATCAACTGAATCCATTATGTTATTCAGAAATAATAGGAAACAGTCCTTGTTATCTTTGAAAAACGTTTCCACGACTGATAAAAAATCTGAAGGTTTTTGTTCAATTTAATAATTTCAAATGATTTCATCTCTTGTGTTTTTGAGAAACACTTTTAATTATGATCATTATCGCTCTAGATTCTTGATTCTTTAACTTGCTCAAAAAATATTCCACTTTCATGGATCCCAGTATCATAATAATTATTGGCAACTCCATTTTGCTTTTCCTGTCTGCTCACTGTCTGTCAAAACAGAACCGTTTACATTACTTTTTTATCTGTAACTCAAGACCTCAATTACTCTGATGATTTTCTCTGGTTAATTTGATTAATCTGCCATCTATAATATTTCCCTTTGATTTGTGCGCGGAAGAAATACACCCTGTTGGTTTAATATTTTGACTGTTGTTTTAATCATTTAAAAAAGTATGTATTTTGAAGGCTTTTGCTAAAATTCACATTTTGCTCTCTCCCTCTCTAATGTTTTCACGTTTAAACAGCTGATCTAGACTCTTCTTAATCTTCATTTGCTATGGAATCATCAGATTGAAGTGGGTTACCCATTTAGTCCTTTTTAGTTCAATATTATATCCAGAATGGCCGAGTCTAATGTTTCTACTATGGTGTTAGATCTGATGGACAACGGAACTACAGATTGGCCTAACACGACAACAACTGAGATACCAAGTAATGGAACTATACCTCATGTCATTGATCACTATCATTTCTGTCAATGGATTTTGTATCGTGATGTTTCTCAGACAAGGTAAATATCATAAATAGATGTAAATTAAATACGATTTTGAACCAATGTAAAAAAATTTCAAAATTTTCTTTCTTGTTTCATTTTCAGGATCAGACTATGGGATCTCTTGATTGCTTTACCTAATCTGTGTTTCTTCATCTTTTTGACGATTAAATTCAAGAGTACCAGAATCCGATTACGAGCCTCAACCTCACCAGTTATGTTCACCTTTTACGTCCTTGTGTGTCTCAATGTCACAGTCAGTCTAATCAGATGTGTTCTTGCTATGACCGTCAATGCAACAACCTCAACTGGTTCCAGTTTGGACATATTATTTTGGATACTAGTCCGTTTCTTTCTTCTCTCTACCGAGATTTCCATTGTTGTATTTTGTCTTGCTTTTGGCCACCTTGACAGTCACACCTCTATCAAAAGAGTTTTAATTGTCACATCTCTGGTCTCTTTTGCATATTCATCCATTCAGGGCACACTTGAATTGATTGCTCCAGATGAAAATTTTTATATGCCTGAATCAAACTATCAGCTTTTTGGACACGGAGGGATGGTTTTTTGGTCATGTACTTGTGCAATAATTAGTTTTGTTTATCTAGTTGTTACTATCCTTCCATGGACATCGTGTCGGAATAGAATTATTTTACCAGGTTGGTTTCCTTTAACTTTAACAGGTTGACTTTCCGTGAATCTTAGTCAAGCTAACTTATGTTCAACCATTAACTCCTTTTTTATCAATATATCTTCTGATCACTGTAAACTGAACAATGAATCCTCTAGAAGTTTGTTCACCAAAATCTGATATTAATTTATCTCTCTTTTGTTTTTCACAGGGAAACCCTCTTTCTATGTTTATACATTTATCCTATTTCTTCTCAATCTCGTCCAAACCATTGGAAGCATTTTATACCACAATCATCAAATCGTTGGCATCTGTATAGTAGATATAACTACCTATCTTTATTACACTCTATTCACTCCACTAGTTTATTGGACCTTTTTGGCTTCATTTTTCTCTTATACCAAATCTCTCATGTTTTCTTACAAACCGCAAATTGATGACGGACTGGACGATAATGCCATTAATTCAGGAATGGGACCTTCATCTAATCCCCAAATATCTCATCAACTGTCTTGCTCATCCATCCGAACCGATGGATCAGATTTCATTTATCAACAAAAGTTAACAGATCCGACGTCTTCAGAAGTCAGAATTGGCGATGTAAAATTATCTTTCTATGAATCATCTCTTTCCCCTGACTCAATTCAATCTATTAACAGTTAACTAATTGCTTGACCCTTTTTTAAAGAAATTATCTTTTCTATTTATTGAAACATTTATCTAAAACATTACATTGACTTATTCTGTAACTATAACTGAACAGAGTAGGCATGAGAGATACATAGTGCTTTCGGGTTAATTTGTTTCTTGTGCTGAATATTCTTTGAGCAAGTTTTGTGTTGAAAATGTGTAGTCTGCTTATCTATGAAAGGAGTATAATGCGAGCGCAAAAATTTCGAGCATATTTTCAAATATACTGCCAAAAAGCAAATTCATTTAAATCTTTAAAGAGATTAACGGATAAAGAGATTATTATTCTGACCATTTGGTGGCGCTTATTGTTTATTTGTCATTTTGTCATTTGTATACAAGTCTTGTATTGTCTTAAAATTGTCTTTAAAAAGTTGTTCCATTTTCGCCGAGTCAACAAAAAAAGTGTATTTTTTAATTTGACTACTTTGAAAGTATTTTTAAAGTTACATCATGTTTTCATTGAACAATCCGAAAAAATTTCGACCTGATCTGGACCAGGCAATCAATCAACCATCAAGTTTTGATCGCAAGATTAGTTTAATTACCAATCATTATCATTTGGACATTCCGAGGTGTGTTGTTTATCACTACGACGTAAAGATTGAACATGGGTGGTTTTCTAATGATCAATTCCACGAATCCTTTGGTACTTTAGACAAATCTACAAGGATATATTCTGACCGAAGTTCGGAAATTATGTGTAAATATATCTCGCAAAATCAGTCAATTGGAGGATTGTTTTATGAAGAAAATCGTACCACATGGTAAGTTGTTTGACTGTCAAAAAGTAACCGAAATTTCAATACTAATTGTAAACTACTTTTTTCATTTCAGTTTGTTACCAGTTTTTGATGGCAAACAAAACCTGTACACTGTTCGTCCAATACCGACATTAGGAGTGACAAAATCGAATGAGAGAACCGACTACTTAAAATTGGAAGAGGCATCGAAATTTGGGTTTCGTGTCAAAATTCGATTCGCAAAGGAAGTTGATTTTGGAGCTCTATCAGACTACATAAACGACTCAATATCTCTAAGGAATGCCGATTGGTACAAAAGAATACCCCATGATGCAGTCAGAGCATTGGACATAATTCTTCGGACAAGTTCTCCAATAAACCACATTCCCTTAGGAAACTGCATTTTTCCTAAATCGGAAAATGCTGTCCCAGTGAACATAGGCCGTGGAAAGCAAGTCATCAGTGGTCACTACCAAAGCATCAGACCAACAGCGAGTGGACTTTCACTTATTATTGACAAAAGCTCTACAACGTTTTACAAAGCCTGTGATTTAGTTGACTTCATTAGACTGCTAATCAAAGATTTGCCTGTAACTAAACCTAGCAATCGTAATATGGATCCATTGGCTGCCATAAGTTTAGCCTCTAAAGGAGCAACAAGTTTGGTGGAAAAAAATCTTCAGCTAATTGAGAAGGAAATAGAAGGTTTGGCCATCGAAGTAACTCACACGCCACAAAAAATGAAATTCAAACTCAGAGGATTCACTCGGACACCTGTTAAAGAAACGTATTTCACTCGTACAGTTGATAATCTGGAAGAGAAAATTTCAGTTTTCGATTTTTTCATGGAAAAATATAACTTCAGGCCAAATTATCTCAACTTACCATGTGTAATTGTAGGCAATGTCAAAAGGCCTTCGTATTTACCTCTGGAAGTCTGTCAATTGGTAAAAAATCAAAAGACCAAAAAGTTGAACCAAAAGGAAATCACATCGTTCATCAAGACATCTTCACAAGATTGTGACAAAAGATTTTGTGCTATAAATGAAGGCGCACGGATAATCAAAAAGGACAACATTAACTATCTAAGTGAATTTAGTTTAGACTTGTCCGAGAAGCCAATCAAAGTCGAAGGTGTTTGTTTGGATAAACCAAAAGTATATTACAAAGACAATTATTTTACCCCTGAAGTTGGAAAGTGGAACATTTGTGACAAAAAGATAATCAAAGGATGCAAAGTGTCTGACAAACGTTGGTTTATTGTCAATCTATCCAGGCTGGAGGCCGATATAGTTAAACAATTTGGAGCAACCTTAAGGGCTTTCAGTAATGATAAAGGTGCGACAATTGGTGAACCTGAATACTGGAGTGGTGGTTATACTGTGGATTATGATTGTAAAGCAGTCGAGAGAATTTTAAGATCAATTTATGATAAATATCATAGCAGACAGATCAGTCTACCTAGTTTGATCATGTTTATAATTACTCGTACCAAAGATGACAGTGTGTACCATGAGATTAAACAATATGGTGATGTCAAGTATGGTTTCAACACTCAATGTATTCTGGAATCCAATGTTAAAAGTGTACTTCATGAGAAAGGATTTTTTCTGTTATCAAATGTTTTTTTAAAAATGAACGCTAAACTTGGTGGAATCAACAATATCATCAGTGAAGATGGCACATCAAATATTATCGGTAAAAAGTCAACCATCATTATGGGTGCCGATGTAACTCATCCAACGGAGAAAATGTCCTATTCTATCGCAGCGTGTGTGGCAAGCTTTGACCAGGACCAAACTAAATATGCAGCAACGGTTCGTCTACAGAAGAGATCTAATGAGGAAATAATCCAAGACCTACCCGACATGGTTTACGAGTTATTGAAGACTTACGTGAAGAGAAGTGATTCTGGAGTCAGGGTTCAAGACGTTTTACCAGAAAATCTCATATTTTATCGTGATGGTGTCAGTGATGGTAAGTTTTCAATTCAATTTCACGAACCAATCTATAACTTAGGTATCAGATATTATCAGAAATTCTGACAAAGTTGGACAACCAAACCATTGTCAAGCTTATTGAATTTCCATCAGATGAAACTTGTTAGAAATCGAATCTGAATGAGTCAATCTCGTCCAGTTCTATTTCGATCTCTTCATTGTATTTTACTAAAAAGTGAACCACACAAGATGTTTAGAACCGATTTGAATGAGATCATGAGTTATGAAAAATTTTTAAAACAAAAGACGATCGTAAATTCGACTCTGACCTCGATTTTGTAGAAAACTGCCCATCGGAGGAGTTATTTACTGGTATCAATGGGCTCAGTTTTAATGTCCCTACAAACCCACAAATTTCAACTCTTAACTCAAATGTTCGAGCATTTAGCAATACACTTTGCAAGTTTAACCAGAAAATTGGTTTATTTACCAAGAAATGAGTTGAGACGAGTTTAGTTTGTTAAATAAGTTGTTGCTCGTAAATTTAAAGCCCAAAAATTGTAACTCGTCTAATGAAAATTTATCCACCTAAACTCAATCATTAATAAGTAAAACATTAGATTGGTGAAAGAATAATGACTGTAGATGTTACTATTCCCGAAATATTGTCGTACAAATTTTTAAATTCAAATCATTCTCTCTTTCTATTTGATTCTTCTCTCTTTCTATCAATATTTTTCCATCTCTCACTTTTTAATCTTACAAATCTAGCAATCGTAATATGGATCCACATTTGTGACAAAAAGATAATCAAAGGATGCAAAGTGTCTGACAAACGTTGGTTTATTGTCAATCTATCCAGGCTGGAGGCCGATATAGTTAAACAATTTGGAGCAACCTTAAGGGCTTTCAGTAATGATAAAGGTGCGACAATTGGTGAACCTGAATACTGGAGTGGTGGTTATACTGTGGATTATGATTGTAAAGCAGTCGAGAGAATTTTAAGATCAATTTATGATAAATATCATAGCAGACAGATCAGTCTACCTAGTTTGATCATGTTTATAATTACTCGTACCAAAGATGACAGTGTGTACCATGAGATTAAACAATATGGTGATGTCAAGTATGGTTTCAACACTCAATGTATTCTGGAATCCAATGTTAAAAGTGTACTTCATGAGAAAGGATTTTTTCTGTTATCAAATGTTTTTTTAAAAATGAACGCTAAACTTGGTGGAATCAACAATATCATCAGTGAAGATGGCACATCAAATATTATCGGTAAAAAGTCAACCATCATTATGGGTGCCGATGTAACTCATCCAACGGAGAAAATGTCCTATTCTATCGCAGCGTGAGGATGGAAAGTGTCTGACAAACGTTGGTTTATTGTCAGGTAATCAGGTTTGCTTTCTTCTCTCTTTCTTCTTCTTTTCTTCTCTCTTTCTTCTTCTTTTCTTCTCTCTTTCTTCTTCTTTTCTTCTCTCTTTCTATCAATTTTATTCTTCTTTTATTAATAAATTATTTCCTCTTTCTTTATTACACTCTATTCACTCCACTAGTTTATTGGACCTTTTTGGCTTCATTTTTCTCTTATACCAAATCTCTCATGTTTTCTTACAAACCGCAAATTGATGACGGACTGGACGATAATGGCATTAATTCAGGAATGGGACCTTCATCTAATCCCCAAATATCCCATCAACTGTCTGGCTCATCCATCCGAACCGATGGATCAGATTTCATTCATCAACAAAAGTTAACAGATCCGACGTCTTCAGAAGTCAGAATTGGCGATGTAAAATTATCTTTCTATGAATCATCTCTTTCCCCTGACTCAATTCAATCTATTAACAGTTAACTAATTGCTTGACCCTTTTTTGAAGAACTTGTCTTTTTTATTTTTTGAAACATTTATCATATAATTATGTTATCGATGTAATATTTTCAATAATTCATTGTTTTGCCATAATCAATCAAAAATATTAGCAGTTAACTGCTATAATGTCAGGTCGCTTCGAAATGAGTTCGTTCATTGCTTAAGATATTATAAGTACTACGTTTATAACAGAAAAATAAAGTTGCAAATTTTAATTTAACTCTGTAGTCGTTGGGTTCAATTTTAGCAAAAATTCCCAACATTAATTCATTCTTCATTAACTGGCAAAAAAGCTCAAAGTAAACATTTCAATAGCTCATTATGGGAATAAAAGTGCTCTTATACGAGCGACCACATTTGAAGCACTGAGACATTATGTTCGCAAATACGGTAATTGCTTGACCTTTTTTTAAAAAAATTGTCTTTTCTATTTATTAAAACTTTTATCTAAAATATTACATTGTCTTGTTTTTTAACTATAACTGAATAAGGTAAGCAGGAGAGATACACAGAGCTTCCGGGTTGACTAGTTCTTTGAGCTGAATGCTCTTTGAGAAAAGTTCACAAAAGATAATAGTTGAGGGTTTTGCATATTTTACAATCAAAATGTAGTAAATAACAGAGTACGAATTTACGAAGAACAAACTTTTTTTTCTAATTTTATTATTTTGCAGGTCAATTTGCAACGGTAATTGAAAAGGAAATTTCAACGATGGATGATGCTTTTGAGCGAATCACAGCAAAATACAAGTTGAGAAAACCATATCGTCCCAAAATAACATTCATTGTTGTCCAGAAGCGTCACCACACTCGAATTAAACCAGAAAATGCAGATGATTGTGAAGGTAGAGCGAAAAATGTCCCATCTGGCACTTTGGTTACTAATAAAATTGTCAGCACAAACAATGGATCTGATTTTTTCCTTTGTAGTCAATCCAGTTCAGTGGTAAGTAAATTAATAGCAAATGAAAGGAATTCGTCTCATAATTAACTCTTTTTTGTCCAACAGGGAACATCAAAACCGAGCCATTATTATATTTTGGTTAATGAGAATCAATTTTCATTGGATGAACTTTATCGTTTGACTTTCAACCTTTGCCACATCTATGCTAAATGCACTCGAACAATAAGCATACCAGCGCCAGTTCAATATGCCCATCTTGCCGCATTCCGAGCACGTCAACATTTGGTCAATATTGAGCGAAACAGTTCGAGAAGAAGACACTTGGATTCTGAAAGTGAAAAAAAAGAGATTGAGAAAAGTATTCAAATTCATCATCGACTCAATTCAGATTTTTATTTCATCTAAAATTGTTTTACCTTTAAGTCCGCCTCAAAAAATAACATAAAAAAGTAAAAAGCAAAGGAAGGAAAGAAGAGTTTCTCTGTCTACTTTTATCTTCATCACTTAAAATTTATCTGAGCTCCATTCTGAGTCCATCCCTCACTTCCACTATTATTCACACACTTATATCCTCAGCTCTCTTTCCCTCTCTTTCCCTCACAAACACAACATTTCCCTCTTTCTCTCTCAGGCTCTCCGCAGCTCTCTGTCTCCCTCTTCACTTTTTCCCTACTTGCTTGCCACTGTGTTGTTTTTTTGTTCATGTCTCCCTCATGATTTTCATTGCAGGTAAAAAAAGGGCCAACAAAAGTGATGATAACTCAGTAGTACCTTAATACCTCTATATATACCGTACACTTATTTATTTTCAATATCATTTTTCATCCTTATTCATCATCCGTATTTTGTGATCTGTATTTCCATTTCTGTTCATGTTATGCAAGTACCTGTTGCAAGAAAAAGATATAAAGTTGATTAATTGATAGTAAATAAAAGTTTTTCCACTACTTACCTTTCTTTTTGTTCAATTGTGAAACTATCTTATTTAATTTGCTATTATTTTTCGTTTGTTTAACGTTGAAACGAGCTAAACGCAAAACCAAAATATAGTCAATGCCATTGGCAGTAAATTTGTTTGCAGTTTCTTCGGCCAACCATTATAAAACAAGTACGACAATTAACTTGACTTGAAAAAGGACATTTCTTGGATGGTTAAAGAGAAATCTTATCCAGTTGGATTCGCTAATCACCACACAACGCTACCAACATCTCAATCCTCCTCATTGTTTCCTACTTTGCTTTGACTTTCTGAAGAAGAAGAAGTAAAGAAGAAACGAAAAAAAAGATTAACTGCCACATTTCTTTCTATTAACACCATTATCCTTCATCCTTCCTTTTTGATCGTCCCATTGACAAAATCTAGTTGATGACCATGGACATAAATCAAATCAGCCTCATATGTAAAATACTGCTTACTCTATTGGTTTGTCAAATTATCTCAGGTGAACCAAGCCCAATTACCAACGACATCAATGCCATGGTAAGAAATTTCCTTTAATTTTCTCACCAATTTAAAACTTGACTTGAAGTTACTTCACTTTGAAAAGTTTTCTGTGAATGAAAAAAAAGAGAAAACTGAAATTAATATTTCTTTCATGAATGAGTATTCTATTTTAAAATTCATTGAATTTAACATCATTTGACTCTTTGTTTTGCTGATGCAAAATGTTTACCAGTTGATTGAAATAGATCGGTTCTGTTATTTGAAATCACAGCCAATTGACCTCTAAATTCTGTGTCAACCAGATTTTAACATTTCTATGGTCTCTGTTAATGGCGTTGAAACTTTTGACTATTACATTAATTCATTTTTTACATCATTGTCCTTGATGAAGGTTATATATAATTATAATAGTGCTAATAATAATAACAATAATAATAGCAATAATGATAATTCATTCAAGGGAAATTAGTGTGACTTTTTTTAAGCCGTTCGTCAACTTCCACTAAAAGGATGATTGAAAAAAATTAAACTTTAAACTAACCAGCAACTGATCAATTAACAAATTAAATTTACAAAAAAAATTATAACAGCGATGAAATCAAATTTAATTTGATATTTGAATCTGTTATTTACAATAAAAGTCAACTCATTTCCATATTCAAACCAATTTGTACGTAATTGGGTGCGAAATAGACATCTTGGATTCCTTACCTCTGAAAGTGTATAAAATTAAATCTGAGTTGCATGGTGAAATAAATTTAACCAGTAAAGCCAAATATTTGATCTTTAGCTTCTTTTCCTGGTCATTATTCATTTGAACTTGTGCCTTGCAATCCATTTTTTGTTACAAATCTGATAATATAAATAACGTTTCCTGAAATAAGCCTCAAATCGCCAGGGATATTAGCCAGGTTACCATGTTGATGGTTTATCGTCAATTGGGGCAAGGGCGTTAATCGGTTAACTCAGTCTTGTTCAGTTTATCAGGAAGTGTTGATAACTCATCAGGAAGAATTAAGGAAGAGCTTCTTGTTGTGAAGGAATTATCCATTGCAAAGAAAGCAGACCAATGAACAGGTTAAGTTAATGAGTAACTTGTTTGCTTTGGTTGTAAGGCCTTAACTTTTATTTTTTTTTCATCACATTGAGGCTAAAGAAAGTAAAGAAAGGTAAATACTATTAATATTTGTGCGCTAATATGTAATAAGATGATGAGGATGGAAAGAGGAAGAGAAAAAGAGAGTGAGAGAGTGATAGAGAAAGTGTAAAAAGGATATAACAAGAACAATGATAAACAATGCTAATACTGATAATGAAAAGTGTTTTGATTTTGATAGTAAACTTACAACAAGATCAGCAACCTTTTGTTTCTTTTCCTAGTTTACCATCGCTATTATTATCATTATCAGCATTTTGTAGTTTCAAGTTTTGTAAAGATCATGTTGAGATCATTTCACTTCACTTTCATTTCATTCATCCACTCATCATGCTCATCATCTCCAGGAAAAGCATTTTTAAAATCCAGGAACAGGTTAGACGAAATAGCAAGTAAATTTAAACAATCAAATAATATCCAATTGATCACTTATCTGATGGTGAAAAATTTTTGAATTCATCATATTTTCTGAATAATATTGACCAGGTTCTTAAATCTTGATAATAGAATTATTCCCAGGAAGAAGAGGAAGAGAGTGAGCGAAAGGTTGATTATGATGATCAGGAAAGAGAAACAAATTGATGAGTAAATTCTTAAAAAGAGCATCAACCTAAAAAGAAAGAAAAGGAGAATGATTAGAGAGAAAGAGAAAGAGAGACAAGTAAAGGGTTTGGAATCCGTAGGTGTATTGAAAAAGATGATTGACCTCAACAAGGAACCCTTTCGAAGCCAATAAACTCTCACTGAGAAGACTATTTCACTAAGCTCTTGAAAGAACCGCTACATGAGATAATAACACTTGTACTGTTAATGATTATCATCTTCAGGGTGTAAGTACCGTTGGATGAAAGTAAAGCCCAAGCTTAATAACCGGTCGATTGTTAATGAAAATAATTTCCGTTGTTTGAGGTCAAGGTTTTATCTTCAATTTTTTCCATTCGATAACTTGACAAGTTATCGATCTGGGCTTTTCACATTGAAATGAATTGTTGGTTGAACATTGATAGAATCAAAACAAATTAAATAAAACCAATCACAGGATTATAAACTGAATATTAATCAAATTATAAAAGACAAAGAGTTATAAATCCATGTGTTGCATGAGCTTGCGCAAAGGGATAAACGTCTGACTTGATACGATAAAGTTTGTTTGATTTGTTGATCTGCTAAAAAGATGATCTAGTTTTAATCAAATAATTTACTTCTATTTAGTGATTTAGGCCTAATATTCAACAGGTACTTCGTTCATCTTTAGATTACGGTTAACTCGGTGTTTATTGTTTATAAGGTTGTTAACCTAAAGTTATTGAGTGATTTCATTTGTATCACTTTTCACCCGTGAATGGATGTGGAAAAATTCACAGATTTTGATTATTATTGTTCAACTACTTATTTTATTTATTGTGTTTAACCAAAATAATGTTGATTTAAACCCATTATTAAACTTGTTGTTAACCTTGGATTGTCCAGTCCATTTGTAATTTAGACATTATTTACATTTTTATCAAGCTATAACTGTTAATATCTCAACGTTCAACAGTTTCACTTTACTCCATAGAAAAAGCTGGAGATTTTGTTTTGCTTAAGGACATCTCTTATCAATTATCAATTGATTTCATCTGATTATGGTGATAATACTAACAATTTTCAGATAAAATTTTCTATCCAGAACTGACCTTGAACTCACAGAAAGTACCTTTTCTTTCATTCATTATTTTCTTGGCTAACTTATCATACTTGATGGCATTGAAAATAAAAAATTTAACTCTTTTCTTACCTCACTATTAAACCAGCAATTGTTTGTAACTATTCATCAACCTTATACCGTTTAATTTAACAATTAATAGACAATCCAAAGATAGCCATTTGCTCACCATTTAAGAGGACAAAAACAGTCTTATAAATCTGATCAGAAACCAGATAAATTTTGGGTAAACCAAAGTCTTGTTTAGTCGCTTAAAAAAACCAACCAATTTAGAGCTGCCATTGGTAAATTTTAACCCAAAATTAACCAATTTGATGATCAATTGATGAATGAAATGTAAATCAATGTCAATCTATTGAATAATATCTCGACTTTTCATAAAAGAACAATCAGATTTTATTAATTGATTCAAATGTGGGACAAGCATTATTTTAATAAAACTAGATGAACTTGAATTTATTTTCATCTGTTAGGATTGAATGAGACTGGCAAAATAGAGTTGCATTCAAATTTCTGGTTAAATTCTGGTTTTTTGGGATTTTGTCTATTGTTCATCACCTTCAGTTGATCTGAATCTTCCTTAATTGTGATCCTTAATTTCCTTAAATATTTTACCCAACAATTGATACATTGATTTGAAAACTGTCTGTAAAAGGTTCAAGTTGAATGAACAGATCTCTGTTTCCGAGTTTTGACCTCATCAATGATTGAAGGTGATGACTGAAATGATGATGAATAAATGGGAGGATGAAACAACTAGCAAATTGTTGCATGATAATAAACATGTTGCATCTAAATAGTGTGATATAAAACAACATGAGATCATATCTAAAGCGTCTATTCTTATTATTCAATAAGGTAATTGTCCTCTCAATGCAGTCTTCAATATTAACCCGTTTAGTTACAATTTACAGTTATTGCTGACAGACTCAAGACATAAAGTAATTTGATTAACCCTTGGATTTAAACCTTTGAAATTAATTTTTTAATGGTTTAAATGGCAATCTAATTTAACTGGTTGATCAAATGGTCAACCACCAGCAGAGTTTAACCTTACGAATGAGTATAAAACAATGGTAAATTTAATAACAAATTGATTGGTTCAATTTTTCATGGTTAATGTCCTGAAATTATCGTAAAATTCAATTTTAAAATATAATTTTGTAATAATGAAAATTTAACATTGAATAAAACATTGACAATAAACTGATTAATGTTGTTATAAGACAAATCAATGGTTTTAAAGGTTAGACTAAAGGTTAGCCAGAAACAACATGTTAATAGTGAATTGATTGAGAAGGAATTAGATTTTATGATTTACTATTTATTATTAAATTGCTGAGAATAGTATTGAACTGATTTTGAGGTTGATTGTTAAATGATTGTCAAGATGACCGAGTAATTATTTTGCCTGATAAAATTTGAAGGTTTACCGTTGGTTTTGTATTAACAATGTTGGTAAACATTTCCGTGTTTTCAACCTACACAAACATTGATTTCATGTTTCTCAGTTAATATTAACTCAGATGAACTAACAACACCTAAGTTTGTTCAAGGAAGATGATGAGGAAAGAGAGGGAGAAAGTAAATGAATGATGAAAAAAACCTGAAAGATCAAGATCAAGGTCAGACTGAATGAGAAACAAATTAACTTGAACTAAAGAAGGTTTGGTAAAAAGTAAAAATGGTTAACCTGGAATCAGGAAGCTTGTATTTTGTTTACACCAACGATGTTATCTAATCTAATCTGACCTTTGTCTTGTTATTAATGCTAGCCCTGGGTGACATAGTGATACTGATGAGACCAATAACAGGTAAAATGAAGAGTTAGAAAGGCTGGAAATTGATGAACAACATTGATTCTGAATGTTTCCCACCTCAATCTCGTGTTTCAAAATTTAGCTGAATCTTGTATTTCAACCTTTTGCTATTCAATTTTTACATGTCAATAGACCTTTCTTTGTTTCACCCTTTCTTTACTTCCTATTTTATCATCATGATTCAATTTCTTTGTTCAATTATTATTCATAAATAATTGTCACAGAACTTAATGATTACATGACCCCTAACAGGTGATTAGTTTTACGCGGGCAACAAACTTACTTCGTCTCACTTGGCATCCATGTTGCCCTTTACTAATTGTTTTAATTGTAATGCTTCTGATTGCTGGTGATGTCAACTTTATTTTTTTTCTTGATTATTGTTGAGCTTTTCAATCTTCATATTGGTGATGAGTATCCAAAGGAACGTACTTTGATTACATGTTGGTTACCATGTTCCTATTTTTGTTATCTAGAACCTTTAATGCTGTTGCAATCACCATCGTTTGGATTGAACATTGTATTATTGGACAAATTTGCTGATCTAACCATTTGGCAATCGAGGATAATCAATGATTCATCATCACCATTAACTTAATATTATGTTAAATGGCCGTTACACAAGTTTACGAAACCTGGTAATCAACTAGAAATGTATTTGCATTAATAATGGTAAAGAAATATCTCAAGGAATCTTCCCAATAGACCATGGTTTACAAGGCAAAACAAATCGATGATAATCCCATGTGTTCACACCAACTTCATCTTGATCGTCTGTGCATAATAATCATCATCTTGAACATCATCGAGAACTGGGCTGGCCAGTTTACATTCTCTAATCTTTTCAAATATTGCCTGTTTTTTTACTTTCATTGACCTTCACAGGGCATCAGCCATGTTAATAACCAAGATGATGAGATATCCTTGATCAAACAATTGTCTGTGGTTAAGAAAGCCAGAAGTAAAACAACAATTTGAAATTATACTTGATTTCTTAGATAATCCAGAGGAAAATGGATAATGTTTATCTCCATCCAACCAAAATTTATGGCCACTTACCCAAAGAATGGTGTACTCACCTTACTGTTTGATTTAACAGTTAAAACCAGTTATTCTACCAAGAAACCAAGGATCTAGGATTTAATTTTCTATCTATTTATACACATTCTCAATTGCACAGCACAGGATAAATTGTTGGACAACGATATTCAATCAAATTTACAATTCGACAAGATATTCGGAAAGAATGGCCAAGCTAATTGAATTTATATTACTTGATGACAATGATGGCTTTTGGATTAAAACTGATGTATCTTCATTTTAATTATCAAGACTCACTATTGCCATTTACTGTGAATAAGTTTGAAAGATATGGCTTTATAAATAGTTCATTGTTTAAAGTAATTAGTTGGTGGTTGGAAACCCTTTTTCCCCTCTGGCTATGGATTATAAACAGGATTAAAATCATTAACTTTGCATTTTTTGTTAATAATTTTTCTAATGTTGATGGCTTATATTTATCATCATTATTGTTATTTTTTTATTATTGCCATTCTCATTAGTCCATCAACGTTATCAGTGTGAATTAATGTTACAAATGATAAAGAGAAACATATTCTGTGGAGTTTTTAGGAACCAAAAAGCAACCCTAATGTTATTCAAAAATTGTTTTCACTTCATCAATGTCCTTGTTAATTTTCAAATGAAAAGTAAATTACCAAGAAAATGCTCATTATGTTAAAATCTTGTGATTAAATTTGAATGGCTAATCATAGTGGTTACAATTTACACTTAACCATCCAGCTAATTCTTGTTTCAATAAACATTTGTTTTCACATGGATTGTTACAATTGATTGCCAAATTGAACTTGAATCAATTCATTGTAACAATTGAATGAACACATCAATCTGAAGTAACTTTAACTCATATTCAAAATTCAATGTCTTCAATCATTTTTCTAACATTATTTTTTTCCTCTTCTTTTGAACAGATATATTTACAACGTTTTGGTTACATGAATGAATCTGGAGCTGCTAATTTAATTGCTATAGACAAATATCAAGACGCAATAAAAGATTTTCAAAGATTTTCCGGAATAAATGAAACAGGTAAGTTACCTAAATGAAAAGTCTGAAGAATTTTAATTTACAATCAGAAGCTTACCAAACCATGAATCTAATTTACCAAGAAACAATGCTTCTAATTACGAAGCATGCAAAATACATTGATTCAAAATTTTGTTACATGTGAATGATTAAATTATAGTTTAGATCTGGTTACGGTAAGGTTAACCTTTGGTGAATCAAAAAAGGTTACGAAGTTGAATTGTCCATTTTGTTTTCCTTTAATGGTTCAAAGTCTATGGCAATTGCAATTTTCCAATGTTGCTCTTATTATTGATTACAGGTATCTTGGACGAGGAGACAATATTAATGATGAATACACCTCGATGTGGCAATAAAGATCACAATGGTCAAGTTGAACATGCAAGAAGACGTAAACGATATGCTTTACAAGGTAAAAAGTGTCCCTCTTTTGACTGTTGGTTCATCACAATGGTGTTTCTGTTTCGCTACTCCTGTTGTTAGTCTTTCTGCTGAACAATCATTTGAAATTCAATCAAAAATTGAGAGTTACAACGAAAAAGCTGGCTAATTGTTTAAAGTGTAACATTTTGAATAGAGTTTGAAACCGTGAAAGTGAAATATCAAACATAAAACCTTTTCAATGTTTACTGTGTTATGCCATTTTTACACAAAGAGTGCTAATGAAAGATAATCAAGAGAGGAAGAACCATGAAGGTAGAGGTTGAAATGAGATCGCATGATATTCACAAGATAATAGGAAAGGTCTTGTTGATATAAAGATGAAGAGGAGAACCAAAAAAATAGATTTCTCTTGAACCAGATCAAGAAATAAAAGAGTTTTTAATAGATGATTTTACTCTTCATTCACATTTCATTTGAATCCATGAATTGTCATCACTCAACAATCTCTAACCTTGTTCCATGTGCCAATGTAAACAGTATCAACATTATCATGATTATCATCGTCATTATAAAATCAATGATGTGAAAGGCAATTGCAAGAGTATTATCATTTGAGTTATTGTTGGAACGCTTGGAAATTTTGATGAAATGAATTTTTCCAATCATAATGTTTCAACAGTTTTTCATTATTAAAATTTCCACTAATCATATACAATTATCAATCAGTGTTTATTGAAATCACTCGATTGAACTAATCATTAGCCTGTACGGTTGGTTTAACAGCAATGGATTGAAAAGACTTTTTTGCAACAGAAACTGTTGATTTAAAGCAAAGTCAACTTTAAATATTGTGATTCACAATGTAAAATTAACGTCAAGGTTTTATTTGATTAAAAAACATATGATCAAATTTAGGTTTTATTTCTCAATCAATTGTTGTTGACTTAAACCCTAAATGCTGTAAATTACTATCATTTTGAACCAATTTGCTTTAAACTGATGGCAAAAATTTACTGTGTTTTTTGGTTTTATGGAGCATCAACTTTAGCTACATTCAATTGCTGTCCAATTGTATGATTTTTCAGTGTTCATTTCAATAATTTGCTTAAATGATTAGATTAGTTGATTGATGGAAAATTCAATGGTTACAAATAACTCGGATTTAATCACAAATTTTATGCATGAAGAGTGAAAATGTGAAAAGCCAAAGACGTAATGGTTATCACTGAGTTTAGTGTTTCCAATTGATTATCAGATGAAATCTGGTAATCGTTATTATGGTTATTTAGATGATTTTAGATGAATGATTTAAAGGTGGATGTTTCTTGGTGAATGGAGAAGCCAAAAAAAAGAAACATTCAATTAAGGTTTTTCAATGTTGACTTGCTCATTCTTGGTCATCTTAATTGTCCTGTTGTGGGAAAATTAAATTTAATTAACCATTCCAATGGTGTTAAAACATTGCATTCATAGTGATTTGTCAATGGTAACTCTAGATTAGTCAACTACTTATGAGAGTTGTTTTGCTAAATTAACATGGTAATGATGATAATAGTAGAGAGGTAAGAAGGTTTGAAGATGCCAGTAAAAGTCAGTTTCAGCTCAAGGCTTAGAATCATTATCATCATCATTTTACTTGTTCTCATCCTTGTCACCATTGACATTTAGTTTCATCTAGACTTGAATTAGGCTTAAACTGAGTTTTCCAATTCAATTTCAACCCTCTGTTAGCTTGTGCTTTTTTGTTTGCCTCACTTTCAGGTTATATTGTATGTTAAATGAATAATCGGAAGTATCTTTCAAGTGAGATCATCTCAGTTTTTCATCCCAGTCTGTTGAAAGTTATTGACTTGATTTGACTCACCTTTTAACATGAGATAACAAAGATTATCATCTCATCATCATTCCTTTATATGTCTCTATGAGCCTGCAAGATTCGTAGCCTCTTCAAATGTTGAACCTCAACTAAATGGAAAGGCTTTTACCTTTCAACTTTACACATTAGTTTACTTTAGACTCAAACTTAACGTCAACTTGTTCATATTTTCAATAATTTGTTGAGAAAAAAATGAAGATTACTTGAGTCTGAGTAATCAGTTGAGACTTTGAAATTGAAATACTTACATAGAGTTAAAAACATGATCCTAAAAATAAACACAATTTAAAACAAAGATGAACCTGTTCATTGGAAACGGTTTGAAAAGATTGTATTTCAAGATTGAAAGATTTAGTTGAAGGTTCGACGCACTATTTCACTGATTATATCTCAATGAATCTAAATTTTGATGAGCAGAACAATTTTCTGTTAATTTTAACATTTACCAATTTAGATGAAATTTGATGTAAGTTGAGTGAAGAAGAAAAAATCAACTCAATTTTTCTGCCTAAATCAATGAACTTTTCAACATTTTAACTTGAATTTGGATAACATCTTCATTCATAGTACAATTGCTTTAGGGAATCAAATCAAAGTCATCAACTAAATCAATATTGTCTGATTTGGCAGTTAAAAGATTGAAATATTATACCTGATTGGTACGTGATTATCAACAGTTAGTTGGTTAAAAAAGTAAGGAAATACAGTTTATGATCAAGAGATTGTCTTCGGACAGATTGAAATCAAAAGATGCTTATTTGAGCAACAATTAAGTTTGTTCAAAAGATTGATTGATTGCAATGTCACTGGATATTAAAAATTAATATTGTCGTCTGGAAAGGTATTATAAGAATGGTGAAAAATTCATTGCCAGTCAAGTTCATCAACCGGAAACATTAGGATTCAACTTGTTCATTAAGAGTATGTTATCTTGATAATGAAGAAGCCGTTGCTTGTTTGATTGCCAATAATGAATTGATAGATGGTGATGATAAGCGTCAAGAAATGACTAGTTTTTTTCATTTCATGTGTGAATCATTTTCTTTCATAATCACAATTCTGGGGGTAATAGCAGACTGTATTCAGATAAGGTAATTCAATATCGTGACTTGCTAGGTGATTGTATTGTCCAGTTCAATCACTTCCATATTACAAATTTATATTAACCACCTTAAATGACCCAGCTTCATATTCAGCCTCTAATTGCGATGTCTTTTGAAATCTTGTGATTTTCAACTACACCAAGATCACTAAGATTTATTAACAGCAATGTCATCCTGACAACTTAATTGGTGCAGAGGGATAATGAATTATGAATCGACGACTTTGAGTTATTATAAAAATCTTTATGAGGTTCTGCAAAATGAAAAAAATATCAGTTCATTTTGAATAATGTAAAGTAAATTACTTAAGGTTGAGAAATTTGGACATGGAAATTACTTACTAAATTTCGTTACATTTTGTAATGATTGTTTATTAGCTTATTGGAAATCTCCAGACTATTTCCAAAACTTCAGCCATTCGTTATTTTTCTATGGACTGATCTCATGAATTTGTAAAATTTATAACAGAAACATTCATTTTGATTTCTCTTGTCTAATTGCCTTTGGAAGAAACACCATCCTCATTAATTATCTTATTCTGGATTGGTTTTAATTTTGCCTCCTTTTTTCCATTTCATGTAAATTCTGAAATCATCAGGAAGCAAATGGCGGAGAACTGATTTAACTTATAGAATATCCAAGTATCCAAGAAAAGTGAAGAAAAGTCAAATCGATGCGGAAATTGCTCGTGCTTTCCAAGTTTGGTCTGAAGTGACACCATTGAATTTTATTCCTAAAAAGGATGGAAGAGTCCACATTGACATAAAATTTGTGGTTGGTGAACATGGTGATGGAGATCCTTTCGATGGTCCAGGAAATACATTAGCTCATGCATATTTCCCACAATATGGAGGTGATGCTCATTTTGACGATGAAGAATACTGGACCATTGATTCGTATACTGGAACCAATCTATTTCAAGTTGCAGCTCATGAATTAGGACATTCTTTAGGCTTAGGTCACAGTTCCACTCGGGAATCATTGATGGCTCCATTTTACCAAAGATACAAGCCAAATTTCAGATTATCCAAAGACGATGTATTGGGTATTCAATCACTTTACGGACCAAGAACTGAACCACATACGACTACACCACCAAAAGAAACTCCATACTCTCCTCCAGCTAGTTTTCCCGGTTCAACTCCAGAGCCTGATATTTCTGATGCTCCAGATTTGTGTCAAGATGGACGAATCGATGCTGTTACCCGTATTGCTGATGGTACAACTTATGTCTTCAAAGGTAAACATTACTGGAAAGTAGAGACAAATGGATTAGCTGATGGTTATCCAAGAAGAATCTCCGATGATTGGGATGGATTACCTGGTGATATTGATGCTGCTCTCACTTGGGCTGATGGAAAAACTTTCATCTTCAAGGTAAATTTCAAGCCAACCAACTTAGAATACTAGATTGAAGAGAAATAGAAGAAAAAACAACGGAATAAGATCAAAAATCAGGTTGAAACATCAGGTCAAAACCTAGTGTTAGAGTTCAACTGAAATTAGGTTTAAAAATTCCTCATTAGAGCAATCATAATTCATAGTTTATTTTAGCACTTAGAGCAGTCAAAAAGCAAAAACAAAACAAATTAAATTAATGGTACAATCAGAGTACTTACGAGACAGTTAGTTGATGGCAAATTTTTCGCCATTGTATTATATTTTCCAGAAAACTTGGAATTGTCAACTAAATATTAGAAATTAATACAAAAAATTGATTGATTTGTAAAGAAAAATATTCAATTTTTTTACAATATAATTACAATTGCAGTTACCCAACCCTTTTTACAAGACATCTTAAAAGAGAGGGATTTTCAAATAAGTTAAATTTGATTAAAAAATTAAAATTATTCATCTCAAAATAATTACAAAATCAATTATGATAAAAAGATGAATTTTTATGTAAATTTTCATGCAATGACAACTAGTATTAACCAGAATTTTCCCAGGTTGATGTCATTTTAATTCTTGCTTTTTCTCATCTTGTCTTGACTTGTTTTTTAGGGACATCAATATTGGCGTTTCCATAATCGTAAAATGGACACTGGTTATCCTAAAAACATTTCACTTGGGTTCGCTGGTATACCTAACAACATCGATACAGCATTTGTATGGAGTGGAAACGGAAAAACCTATTTCTTTAAAGGTAACCAGTATTACATAAGCAATTGACGAAACATTTTTGACCAAAAACTGTTGAAAATTTTACGAATCTCACCTTAAATCTTATTACAAATTTTACTAATTCTTTGATTATCTCTTTACTATTCAAGATAAACTATATTGGCGATTTGATAGTAAAAATGATCCACCAGTTAGCAGCCGATATCCTAAACCAATTAAAAATTGGGTCGGATTACCAAGTAGCATTGACGCTGCCTTTAAATGGGAAAATGGATTAACATACTTCTTCAAAGGAACCAATTATTATCGATTTAATGACAATGACTTTGAGGTTGGTTAATCACTTTCCTCACTCGATTCGCTTTCAACTAAAGATCAAAAGGGATAGAAAAACAAAATCATCATTATTCACTGAAACCTTTGATATTCATTTACAATCTCATCTATTGGATCATTTCAGGACATTAATAAGAGTTGATCACTTTCAATTGATCCTCTTATTATTTAGCGATTTTAAAATCAATAAGTCAATCAATACAACATGTTAAATCGATTGATTGTTCATTGATAGATGTAGGAATCATGAATGTTAGTAAATACAAGAAGGCCTAAGAAAATACAAGCCTAATTACAAGCATCCATCCCATCCTTCAACAATATTATTGTTTTCCTACAGAATCGTTAGACAGTTTAGTTGAATCTTACAGAGTAATGGTTTAGTCTATGGGAAAAGTGAATATATCCCTTGTGATTTACTCACTGATTGCACTCAAATTGAATTGTTTTGATTCTGTTGTCTAATTGCTGTTTTATTTTTCTCATATTTAGGTTGACAGTTCAGCTAAACCTCCTTTCCCTCGACAAACCTCGGTTTGGTGGTTTGATTGTAAATCAGCAGCCAATTCACCTTTCCGTGGTAGTCTAGTTTCGGGTCAGAGCAGGTCAAAATTTATTGGAGCTTTAATGTCAAATACAATGGACGATATAGAGTCATCAGCTGCTTCATCTTCCATATCTAAATCAAACGCTGGTTCAACCCGATCAACCTCAAGTTCATCCTCATCTTCTTCTGGTTCAAACCGAGATTCAAGTCTTTCAGATGAACAAAATAAGGAATGGACTATGCACGGTCGATTTGATCATCGTGATCTTGCTGCCGCTGTTTACAGTCATGCGATAATCTGTAAGACTAACATGATACTAATGGCCTTATGCCTGATGTTAACGGTCATCTCAAATTAACTCATCAAACAAAATACACTTTAAAGTAATAGTAACACTCAATAGGAAAGCAAACAAATAACAGCAACAATTAAATGAAAATCCATTCCATTAAGGGACAAAATTAACAATCAAATAACAATGAAACAAATTTCTCTTTCTCTCTTCAAACAATCAAACCCATCCATTGGCCGATCAACATTTAATCAACAGTTAATTTGCTCAACTAACACAATTGCGATCCCAAAAGTGCTCTCCTTTCATCCTTGTTTTGATTGGGTTAACAGGATAAACAAAATTTTGTCCTTTTCCTCTCCTTTGCTTGCTCATGTTTGTTGACAATTTAAAACTGATTGACATGAATCAGACTAACAATTACAGACCAGCTTTTAACAAGTCAAATATAATTTATTTAACAACCTTGATTATCTCCTTGTCATCCTCAAACAGTCGACAATCTAATCAAATGTTGCGATCTCATTGCAACCCAGCTTTTAGCAATCAACAAAATAAGGGAAATCATTTCTCTATTTATTATTAATGAATGCTATTTAATTTATTTATTTAATTCTCATTTCATATTCTATCTTTAATTAATCATTGACATTTTTAAAATATCCAAAACATAAACATAAACACATTAATACCAAAAAATTAAGGATTCAGGATAATGATGAAGATGATGATGATGAGGATGTCTGATAGTAATCATTATAGCCCATTAAAAGTCAATGGAACCAATTATTACTTTCACATCATCATCATGCTCACAGTCAAAATCAATAACCTCAGGTTTGTTACTTTGCTAAGTATCATTAGATTGTCGACTGCTTTTTAGATGAGTAAATCCTTTCTAACCAATTTTACATACAATTGAATCTGTTGCCGTAAAAAAATATTTCACTAAAATATCTGCACATTAATTCAAACAAACAACACTGAATTGTAGTTCACTTGAACTCTCAATGTTACCTTGACAATGATGAAAAATGATTCAAGTAAATTGTAATAGCATCAATTACAATTACAATTAGCAACCCTTTTTTGTCTGTACAGTCAAAGAAAAAGGTAAATTCATTAATAACAATTATACATGCCACACACACAATCAGATTGAACGGATATTGGCGTCAGTTAATCACTTTTCCAACAAAGAGTAATATTACACAAAAGGCAACAGATTCAATTAAAATCCAGTTTTGTGTTAAACTTATATAATCAAAATTAATTGCTAGATTAACACAAGACTGGAAGAGAAAGAGCGAGAGAGGAAGAGAAAGAGTTAGGATGTTGTGACAGATAATTTAGTAAATCAAAATAAAAGTATATAATATTTTGATAATGATAGTGATTAAAAAGGCTTGAAGGGTTAAATTGTGAAAAATTTCCTAAATCAATCAGATAAATTAACCTCATTCTTTCCTTTCCTTTTAATAGAGAGAAAGATAAATATACAATCAAAGCCAAATTAATATGATTAACTAGGGCCAATAAATTGATATGCCAATGTAATCAAAAATTAATTTTGTTAACAACTGAAGCATCATCACAATTAATGCAAAAACAAGAGTAACCAGAGTCACTGATGAAACGCCATTTCTTCCTTCCCTTGTATTACATTGATTGGAACCCATTTCATCCCGTCAACATCATTACGCTAATCATCATCATCATCGTCATCTTCATTGTAATTGTTGATTAATCTTTGGCTTTCCATGGACACTTTGAACCACCAATCGTCACTAAACAATTATAGGAAGGTTAACCAGATTAAACCATTGAACCATTCAACGCCTCGACTCATTCCATTTTCCTTGATGCAAATGGTGTTTAATTTGGGTTGGCAGAAGGTTAAATCACTCATGATAGACTCACTAGGATTAATTACAAACTCAGAACAGCTCAGATTCCAAGTCACTTTAAATCATCTTTAATTTTCCTCATTCATTGGATCCATTTGATGTACTGCTTTTGTTGGTTCCAATCGATTATGGCGACACAAGTCTCATCGTCTTGATTATCCTCTTCTGGATCATCGTTATAATATACTAAACATAAACTAATCATCGCTTAATCATCATTCTTTCCAATTTTGTTCATCTTCCAAACGATCTCATTCAATTGACCTTTTCTTGAATTTTTTATAAATCAAACTCAGCCAAAATGGTTAAAATCATCATTATTTCAATTTTGATTGGCCATTTTGTCCTCTCCTCATCTTAATATATATAAATATGAATTTCAAAACAATTTCATTTTATAAAACGCTATTTATATACCATATTTTGATATTCAAAAAAAAACAAAAAACAATAATTATAATTGTCAACAGTAGAAACAAATAATTGTAATCAACTGAAACTCTTTTCCCCTCTGATAACTCAATGAAGAGTAAAATTAATTTGACATCATTAAAAAGACAAACACTCAACAATTACACATCAAAGTATAATCAATTTTCATTCGGTAATCATTTAACATGAAATGATCACAATCAAAAAGGTTAATCAAGTAGAGAAAGAAGGAAAAATATAAAAGAACAGAAGAGGTTTTTATAAATTGTCAACAGTTATTTAGTTGATTCCCCATTTGATTACTTTCAACCTTTCTTTCATTTCGTTTTTCAATCTAGCTCAATGTTGCCATTCAATTTCAATAGTTGCTTTTTGTTTTAACTCATCATATTTACCTTAAAACAATCAACTAATCATTATCAAAATACAAACATAAATATAAGTATAATTTTCCCTGTTTTTACTCATTTAGATCCATATTTGAAAATATATCTTATCCTACTCAAGGTGAAACAGTAAGTCTAAGTTTATTGCGTGATCATGAATCAAGAAATAGGCTTTGAAATAATAATGTTTCATCAGGAAACCGTATACATAAAAAAGACTGGCAATGCTGCTTTTAATCACCATCATCATCAGTATTTTTAATAATGTTAGTTATTATTATTAATATATCATCACTACCATCAAAGACAGGTTCAACTTTCTTCCTGTCAACAATTTACATATATTTACAAAGGCGAGGCAAAGAGAGGGAAGAGAAGAGAGGATGAGAGAGGAAGAAAAAGAGAGAGAGAAAGAGATTGAGAAGAGAGATGAATCAAGAGAGGAATAAAATGCAATCCTTAAGCGATAATATGTATATATATCATGTATTTATACAACTTATACTGCCATTGAAAAGAGCGCAGTATATGAGCCGCATACAATAACTTGTATAAGCAAGTTATACCACTTTGTCTCAACTATGTGTGATTAAACACTCGGCTTTTTGCCTCGTTTATTAATCACACATACTTTCGACGCAGTAATACAACATTTACATATAATGCGTATCCTCCAGCGATGAACATTTTTAAATATATAATTGACAAAAAATCATATTTTTTATCATTTTTATCTGTTTTTATAATTTTTTTTTGCTAAATTTTTCTTCGTTGAGTGTAACGACAGGCTTGATGATGGTGCAGCTAATGATGGTCACAAGCCGCGTAGTATAACTCGAATAATAATAATATAACGGATGACAAAGATTATGATGATGATGTTTGTTTTGGTGGTGACGGTGGTGGTGGTGGTGTTGGTTTTTGGTTGTGACAGGTAATATATTGTGATTTTTTAGGTGATGATGTGTTTTATTTGTGTGTGTGAATTTGGGTGAATATAGCTTTTTTTTTGTTTATGTTTTTTTGAGTTTTCACCAAGTAGGTGCTGGATGTAACGTTCGACTGTTGTTAATTGTATGAAGATGGTTATGAAGATGGTTATGGTTACTGTGAAGATGAAGATGTTGATTAAGAGTGTTTGTTGTGGTTGCGGAGGTGATTGCTGATGAGGCTGTTGCTGTTGTTGTTGTAGATAGATTGTTAGATCTGCTATTAGTGGAATCTTCTTCTTCTTCTGAAGAATCTGAAATGGTTATTACACTGACAGCAGGACTTGGTGTATCCTCTAGTGTTATTGTTTGAAGGTTACCTTGTTTCTTAGCATCCCTTAAATCTGATGATGTTAAGGTCAACTTTGCCGAAGGAATTGAATGGTGAGCGGGTGCTGGTTGATGATGAAGATGGTGATGATGATGAAGGGATTGAATCTGTTGATGGGATTGTTGGGATGTTTGTTGTTGTTGCTGATGTTGTAAAGCCTGTTGTTGCTGCTGATGAGCGTGCTGTGGAGGTGGTTGTTGTTGCTGTGGTTGCTGTTGCTGTTGCTGTTGTTGTGAATGAAGATGTTGTGAGTTTGTTTGTTGATGGACTTGGAATTTCATATTTGATAAATTAGCATTACTGCTACCATTGCTATTACTTGAACCACTGCTTTTCATTATCACCACACTTTTAGTTGGCCTGTGAGGCTCATCCGAGTCAAAATTGATGCTTGGACTGTTAACTAAAACTGAAGCGTAGCCTGATTCAAGATATTGCCTAGATGATGAGCCAGACATTATTATTGGATCATAATTCCATTTTGGTGGAGATGACTCTTTAACTCTCTTTTTTACGGGAGATAACTGGCTACTTGAATATTCTTTGGTCCGAGAAGGCCTGTGGCTATTGTTAATGTTACTGTTAAGATTGCTAGAATTATTTCCATTATTACTATTATTTGATCCGATAGAGTTGTTACCAACACCTCCATGATGGTGATTTAAATGATTAAGATGATGGTGACTGTTACTTGCAGAATTGGATAAACTGCTATTTAAATGATGATTTAAATTATTCAGATTGCTCATAGATGAGCTACTAGACATACCACCAGGACCACCAGAATTACCATTACCATTGTTATTACCACCGCCAGCTGCACTGACATTATAACAACTGCTTGATGAACCAGCATAAGCAGCCATGGCCATTGCTGCGGCCGCAGCAGAATTGGCAATTGTTTGGCGCCGCTGTGAACTTGGAATAGCAGCTAACAATGTTGCTCCATGAGCTGGTAAAGGTTGACGAAAATGATGAGTCGGGTGATGTTGAATTGAAGATTGATGAGCTGGCTGAGCCGGCCCTGAAACTGGAACCATTCCCCATGATCCAGGTAATTGTTGTCCACCTGAAATAAGGCCTCCTCTATCACCAGCCACAGCAGCCGCAGCTGCTGCAGCACCTCGAGTAAGATGATCATAATAAGCTTGTTCAGCCGCTTGTTGACCACTTGCGTTAGTAGATGCTGCTAATTCAGCCATAGGTATGATAGCTGATGCATCAGGTGCAGCAGCTTGAAGCATAGCTCTTTCAAAGACAAAAGATTTAGACCAAGCTTCGTCAGCTAGAACACTTTGTTGTTGTTGCTGTGATTGAATTGCTGCTAAAGCAGCTCGTTGAGCTGCAGCCGGGAATTGTTGCCATGGTGGTAATGTTGGACCTATAAAGACAAAAGGAGACGAAACAAAAAATAAGATGAATAAATATTGAAAAGGATCAAAAATACATTAGAGTACAAGAAAGAGAGAGAAGGGAATGTCCAAGGGAAGAAAATAGGTTTAAGTTTTAAAAGGATACCTTGTAAGAAAATTTTCAATTCAAAGGGAAGAAAAATAGAGAGAAAGAAAAGAAAGATAAAGAACAAAAAGAGAGAATGGAAAATAGAGATTGAAGAAAAATTTAAACCCTTATAAGTAATGCTGCTGCTGTTTCCTGCTAGGTACATGTATATTTATATATGAATATATGGTTCCGGGTAATTCCTTAGAGAGTCAAGTTAATCACCATTTATGCTTATACCGACCTCTTTATGACAGACATTCTTTGTGTATTTAAACTCAAGAGTTTCGCCTTGAAATATGATGGGTATAACAAGGTGTTAAGGACGCAAGGAAAAAGAGAGTAAAAGACCAAAAAAGAGAGGAGAGGAGAGCGAGGGGAGGATGTGAAAAGAAAATAGAGAGAAAGAACAAGCCCTAAAACTATTTGGTTTAGCCGCAAGCTTTCATTTCCTTTGGGTTGAGAAAATGTTCAATAAGAAATGAAAATTTTTAGACAAAATAATGTGCAATAAGAGATGTTGAAGTAAAAGAGAAAGCCATTTTGATATGGAGAGTCAATTGGACAATGGTTAATGGGTAACATACCAACAAAGATTTGTTGACGATTATTTGACCCTGTAACAACGGGTGCTGGTGGCTGTGGTGGAGGCCATTGAACGGCAACAGCTGAAACTGGAACATAGGACTGTGCCGTAATCAGACTAGGTTGGAATTGGACTGTTCCCTGAGTTTGAGCGGCCGCAACCATGGGTACAACATGTTTAGCCGGAGAATTAAGGTTTTGATAAGGATTAGGAGGCACTTGAGCTGAGGGTCCAGTTTGATGGGCACCAGGAGGGCAAAGGATTGATGGGACACAAAGGGCGGTCTGAAACGGATCAACAGCAGCAGCCTGGTGAGCTGCTACTGCACGGAATTGAGCCGCTCGTACCGAGCTTGATGTAGCAGCAGCAATCCTAGGAGCTGCAACTTGATGGTAAAAGTTGGTTGCTAAATAATGCAAATAACAATGAATAAGATGACAATATTAGAAAGTGAAAAAAAAATCAATTCAAAATTCTTTAAAAGGATAAATTTAAAAAGTCATTGTCTTAATGAAAGAATGAATAAAAAGGGATAGTTAGATGCACAAGGCGAAGCCTGAGTGTATTCACTATTATATAACCGAGATAGTAATCAACAAAACCCAAACAATCAACTGATTTTCAGTTCTGTCAGAGGTGTGGCTTTTTGAACACTTACCGTGATCGTTTGAGGGCACATAGCTATTAGCTTCACTGGTCACTGAATTAAGATTGTTGTTACTTGAATTTCTCAATGGATTACGAGAGGAACGGACAACTTGCATCATTTGAACCGAGGCTTTAACATTTTGACAATGTGCATACTCGTGTAAATGGAAAAGGGCAACGAAATTGTGATTTAAAGCTTCACCCGGTGTGATTCGACGATCTTGGTCCAATGTTAACATCCTTTTCAATAAATCAATAAATTCACGACGGTCAGCCTTTTCGGCCAACAATTCGGTACCCTCTAAATCTGGAACGTTCACTTGAGCCATATCATCAAGACAATTAAATATATATTTACGGGCTTCTTTGGATTTAATGTTAGTCTCACTTTCATGTTCTTCTGGTGTTTTTAATCTCCAATAGGGATAACTTGAGTTTGTTTCACGGTGAAAAAATCGGGTTGTTTTGGTTGCTTCATTTAACATATGATCTGCAGGTAGACTCTGGGTTTGTGAAATATAACGTATCTGATCATATTCAGATGCCCCTGGATAAAGAGGCCATCCAAGAAATAATTCAGCTACTACACAACCAAGAGACCACATATCAATTGCTTCACAAAAAGGTAATCCCAATATAATTTCGGGTGCTCTATAATAACGGGACTGTAGATATGTAGAACAAACAGCTTTGGAAACATGGCTGGCTGATCCAAAATCAATCACTTTAACTCTGAATGGATATCTCTCTGGATCAACTAACATTATATTTTCTGGTTTCAGATCAGCATGGATTAGGCCCAGTTGTTTCAATTTGAGGAGAGCTGTTAAAACTTGTTGTAGAATGGGACGGATAAATTTAAGAGGAAGAGGTTGAAAATTATTCTTTTTAAGGAAATCATATAAATTTTGTTCTAACATCTCAAACACCAGGCAGGTATGATTTTTATGGTTGAAACACTCATAGGCTCGGACAAAATTAAAATCATCCGATGATTCAGCAGATAGCCTTTGAAGTATAGAGACCTCAATTTGGCCTTGGCGAACATAAGATGGATGATTTTTAAGGATTTTGATTGCCACAATTTCATTTGTTCCCTTTTTCCAGCACTTAACCACTTGACCAAAGGTACCACGGCCAAGAAAATCCAGAACTTCATACTGATTGTAATTGGAATAGAGGACTTCATGCTGTACAAGTTGATAATCACCTTCACTATTAGAATTAGTTGATTTAGTTGAATTTGCTGGTGGCATATTTATTTCACTTTTTTAAGGATGTTAGGGTGAAAAAGCATATAGAAGTCACAAATGTATCCTATCTCGATTCTCTCAACCCAAACAACCAACTGTTTTTCACTCTTTTCAGAGGTGTGGCCTTTTCAACGCTTACCGTATCCAGTAACCGAGACTGTACTCTTTAACTCGGTAACAAATCCGGATCCTTTTAAACTCCTAAGTGCAGAAGCCACCGCCATCTAACGTCGAGTAAAGATAGTAATCAGACTTCGTGATTAACCTTTAATCAGACAATTTGCTTTCATATCATAATTAAACCTTTAAATTTATTTTTTTTCTAGCACTGAGGCATCTATTGAATAGTCAAACAGTTGTAATTGATAATTCAAGTAAGTAAATGTATTTAAAACAAACCAATACCTTATTAACTTTACCTAAATGGATTGATTAAATTTAGCAATTCAAAGCTATAGTAGGTTTTTTTTGGATAATGAATGGTGAAAAATAATGGACTAAATTATCAAAATGACAATCAACCTTTAAGGCCATTCAATATGTGAGTTTAATCCAATATTTTTATGCAATAGACCCTGATAATTTGTCTGAAATTAATCAAAGTCAGCCAGTTGCCACAAAGCAGATGTTGGCGTCTTTAAGCATAAAGATTTGATTACAAGAAACAAAAAACCGTCGATCAATTTTACTTTTAAATGAGGGTGTATACAACTTGAGCTACTAAGTTGATTAAATACAAATGACAAAAAATAAATCCAAATCATAGGTGTTACTCTGAATAATCACAATCATGATGCATTATAATGAAATCCGAGAAACGATGAACCAAAACAAAAAAAACCTGTAAATTGAAAATTGGGTTCAAGTAAAATGTCAACTGGTTGACCAATAAGCAATATGGTTACCATTGAGATGTAAACATTGGTTAATATAACCTTAATTTAGTTGGCACATTACGTTAATCATTTCTTAATTGTCATAAATTCGGTTAATATAATAGTTTATTACCGTCAACATTTAAACTATTATCTTGAAATGAGATGATAATGGAGACAACTGTTTTAAAAGTAAAGCAACCAAGTGGATTCATACAACAAGAGTAACAAAACGATTATATTCAAACTCAATTGCAGATCATGAAAAACATTCATTTTTTTCATTCCTTTTCAGTTTAATTTTTTTCCTCTTCTTTCCTTCCTAAATCACTATTAAGCCAACAATAATGACAATAAAGAAATGTGAATCTCTTTGCTCGATAAAATTTGTTGAATGACAAAAGACGATGTTAGATGAATTGAGAGTAATGAGTTGAAAGAAGCTGTTTGTTTGGCTTCAGCCCCATAATACACCTAATTTTATTGCTTCCCTGATTCAACAATGATCATGCCAATCATCTTCTATCATCATGTCTATCATCATCCTCATCTAATCCTCCTTTGCTTTTCATTTCACTTTATTTTTCCCTCAATTCAATGGTTCTCCCTCTGGGTATGTTAATGTTAATGCTTCTTAGTAACTCCTTTGGGTTAAATTTAATTTTTTGTCAAAACAACAGCTTAATCTGGTTCTCAGAGTCTTATTTAAAATTCACTTCAAGACTGATTTAAACAAACCAAAAAGGTTAATCTTGTTGATCATGATTAACTTTTTTCCCCATGTAAGCAACATGTATAGCCTTTTGCTTTCCAATGGATCATCTTGTATGTTGTTTGGCTTTTATAAATCATTGGTTTTGCCATTATTTAAATATTATCAAATTGTAGTTGAAATACTTGAAGAGTCCATTGATTGAGGAAAAGATAAAGATTCGTGTTTACTTGGAAAACTTCTGATATCACGGAAAATCTAGAATCTAAAGGTCTCATGATTATTTTACAACTTTTCAGTTAATGTTTACATTGCTGGTTGAAAGTTTATTTTGTGATAGGTGACAATGAAATGCATTCAATTTCATCCCATTTCAGATCGCTATTTTTCAAATGTTCAATTGACTATTCAACGTTTGTTTAAAATTTGAAAAAGATGTTTATTCAAGAAAAAATTTACAAAACAATCAATCATACAAAACGATTCAATTATCGTCGAAAAAAGACGATCATTTTTACATTTCAAAATATCAGATATTTTATCAGATATTCTGGCTTGTTCAGGATGATACTCAGGCCTGAGTACAACTCCATCTACATGAATTGAAGTTAGTTTAGTTGATGGTGTATTTTTGATTCTTTCGATGAATTTTATATAATTTGCCTTTGAGTGTTTACTGAATTTTTTGCTAAAATTCATGGGCTTGAAGCTTCAATCATTTACATTGTATTAGTTCCATAGCGTATTGGAATGTCATGCGTATGTTTTCTCGACTCAAGTCGAGTCGATGCTACTTGACTAACCATTTATTCGGCAGACGCCTTTTCGCGCACTTTGAAGTCTAATCATAATCTACAGGGCTATTTAGCCGAACCAAACATGCTTGGAAACATATATTTGCACTTTATGCTTTTGAGAATCGAACGACAATCGATTCCAAGTTTCAGAGGCATTTCGAGCCATTCTTTTGTTTGACTCTCAAACGACTTCTGAAGGACATTTTAAAGTGTCCAAATATTTTCAAATTGCGCTATTCTTGAAATAAAAAATAAAATTCTTCTCTGAGAAGCTACACATCTTTTTTAAATTTATTTCTTCTATGGGAAGAAGGCAAGGCAGGCTAAAAAGCATTTCACACTAAGTTTTTTAATTGTCGTGTGATTTCCGAAATTTTATCTAGTGTGGCTTCCTCTGGGTTGATGGCAAAGTCAGAATTTAATTCACAAATCGATACAAAAGATTTGGATTTATTTACCATTCCTTTCTGGCTAACACTTTTTGTTGATTTTTATGTTCAACATCAATCAAATCACTAATTTCAACATAAATCCCGACAGACTTTAGCCTGTCCTTGAATTCATCACTTTTACATGTAGACACTAAACAATCCATCCAACAAAAAGAGATTGAAATTTTTCATAAAGTGTATTCCGATATTTAGGTATATTTAGTATTCCGAGGTAGGACGACATAATTTATGTCTCTTGCGAATCGCTTGAATGTGTTATATTTCAACGAGTATAAATTGACCACTTTAGTACGTTTGAATCGGAAAGTCTTGTATTTAGTCCAACGGAATAGAGTTTCTTTCTAAAATCTCCATGTGAAAATATAATAATTGAAACTTTTCACCATGTCTTGTTTTTCATAAAGTCTAAATTCCTGACATGGAGTACCGTTGGGCACATAAGAAGTGTGATCTAGAATTAAAACAAAATAACTGTAACTGAACAGTACGTAAACTCTCATGTCGTTTTGGAAAACATAAGCTCTCAATATTTATCAGCAATCGAAAATGTTGTAGCTGGCAGACCTCTTAATGTCAGTCAGAGGTCAAATAAAGGAGCGACCGTGGATGACCTTGAGCGTTCGAACTTAAGGTTCTTCAATTTGCGGAAGCTCATGGTTGGAATCTTAGGTCTGTAGCATCAACTGTTCGTGAGTTTTGACTGCAAACAGGAGTAAAATGTAAAAAAAAACATTTGTTATAAATTGGAATGAATTTTAAGCTTCAGTTTTTTCTGTTTTAATCAAATATTCAGCAATATAATTATGGTCAATTAACAAGATGCAAGATATTTCACTAATTTCACGGATATCTTTTTTTTTGATAAACGCCATCTACTGTACTTAAGATGCTTAATAATACCACTGGTAATATAGTAGACTTTTACCTCTTCAAATGATATTGGAATAGGAATTTAAATCGGCAATCAATCAAAAAAAACTATCACTGAAAATTTTTAATCAATTTTCTACCCTAATAAGAAACCAAAAAATTAACTAAATCATTCAATAATTTATTTTAAATCAGACTTGATCTCTATGATTGATAAATGTAAATGATAAAATTAACTGCCCGGTAAATAGTGAAAATAAGCTATTTTCAGTGACACACAGTTTCATGGTGTCTGTAGGACTGCTTTAGCTGTTAAAGTCATCATTTTTTACTCACGATTTTTATTCTATGATGTGTCTATCAATTATCATTTAATCTGTAACAATTTGTTTGAACGGGTGATATGGCTCGACATCGTAACATCCGTGGTCTCAATTACGATGAAGGTATAACTTGTTTTAATTCCTATGCAATCTTTTTTGTTAGATGTCATCATTTTCCCTAAAACAACTGTTTCATCAACATGGCGTAGATTTTTGTTTTTGTTTTTTTTTCAGCAGTTTTCTCTAGCGTACTGTTTTCCGAATTTAATGATGTCTCTATCATCCTCTCTATTGTTTTTTGGTTTAATTTAATCAAATTTGCTTTATATTTTTCTTCCAATCCTCAGAATATGACGACGTTTACAATTCCACTTATGGTACTTCAGTAGAAGATGATTACTGCATTTCACCTGGGACTGAAGCTCAGTTCACCTATAACCGAGGTGGAAGTCGTGATGACTCCAGACTGTCCGGTTACCTTCAAAATTGGAATAGAAGTGGAGACATTCAAGAGGAAACCAATGATGAAACTGATTCCCCAGTTGAGCTGGATCGTAGACCATCTGATGGTAGTATCGACAATACAATAAAATTTTTAGACCAAACTGAGCAAGGTTGGTTAAATCTTTCTTTACATTCAAAATTCAGTTATAAACTAATATTTAATTCTAATTATTTTTCTCTTTTACTTTTTTATATTTAGTTCAATTGCAGTCATGTGTTTTAGAACTTCAGAACGTGGTTGGTGAAACAGTACCTGAATCAATCCTCAAAGAAAAAGCTCTGAAGCACCGATTCGATGTAGAAAAAGCTCTTGACGAAGTTCTGAATCCGTCTAAATGGAAAATGCAATCAAATGCTCAAACCAAAGTCAAAATTTCTGAACCGAAAAGACCTGAAATTAAGAAAAGACAAGAAGGTAGGTTTGTTAATCTTCAAACTGTCATTTTATTCCTTATAACTAACAACATGCCATCTCTTTGGTTTCTTTTTTTCTTTTGGCTGTTGGGAAGGTAAGAATTGGATACAAAGATCGATAAACTCCTTGAGTCTTTCCTTGGCAAACAACTTAAAATGGAATCATCATCATCCACATCATCTTTCCATAATCATTCAAAAGTCAATTCTCTCTCATCCTCAAAACAGTGTAAAAACTCTATTACCACTTCTCCATCAACTAACCCTACCTCAGCTGATTCTAAAACGTGTATAGCTCCTCCACTTAATTTTATATTAGACCTTGATGATGGTCATATCAGCCTTACTAGTAAAATCGATAATGTAAGGTTGCCCAATTTTGTTATTACCCTCACTGCCAGATATAAACCGGATCTATCGAGAATTGTTAATCCAAGGATTGGACTCAAGGAGAGATTGGTTGAGTATCACAAACAACAAGCCTTTAAAAGCTTTGACTTTTTAACACCATCACCAGATGATCTAAGACTTAATCGAAGATCTGGATTAACAAGAGGTTGCTTATTTGACCCATTTTGTTGGATAATTTTTTGCTAGTCTCTTTATTCTTATTGCTTAGAACCTTTAATCAATGTTTCTATCTATCAATTCCAGAACCTGTTGAACATGTTGCAACGGATGTGCCAGATGAAGTGGCAGCAAGACTCGAAAAGAAAGCTGGTAAAGAATCACCGCAGGTTAAAGCTGTCGATAGACTAAGAGAAAGTTTGCATGTGGACAAAAAAGAAAGAAAGAAAAGCCCTGCTGCAGTAGATAGATCATCTCCATCAGGACCACAAGTCATTGGGGCAGCCAAAAATCAAGTCAAGATAATCTCAAAAGAAAGTGTTATCCAAGAGTTTACTAAAGAAAGATTAGGAAAGAAAACTTTAATCAACTTGGTTGTTGTTGGCCATGTTGATGCTGGTAAATCAACTTTAATGGGCCATTTATTGTATAGATTAGGTCAAGTATCGAAGAAAAATATGCATCGATATGAGACAGATTCTAAAAAAATCGGAAAAGCATCTTTTCTTTATGCATGGGTTCTTGATGAAACGGATGAGGAACGAAACCGTGGTATCACCATGGATATAGCTCAATCTTCTTTTGAAACCGCAACGAAATCAGTAAATCTTCTTGATGCTCCTGGTCATCGAGATTTCATTCCTAACATGATTACTGGTGCAGCTCAAGCTGATGCAGCTTTGTTAGTCATAGATGCCACCAACGGTGAATTTGAAGCTGGTTTTGAAGCTGGTGGTCAAACTCGAGAGCATACTTTACTCATTCGATCGTTGGGTGTTTCACAATTAGCTGTGGTAGTTAACAAACTTGATAATGTTAATTGGAGTAAACAGAGATTCGATGAAATCGTGGGAAAGTTAACTCCATTCCTTAAGCAAGCTGGTTATAAAGATCATGATGTCACTTTTGTGCCTTGTAGTGGCTTAACTGGAGAAAATCTGAATGAACGCTCAAAAAATCCCTCACTCACCGCATGGTATTCAGGTTTATCACTCGTCGAAGTAATCGGTGAGACTTTTTTTTTCAAATTTATCGACTATTTAAGATGATTCTGATTTGTAAGAACCAATTATTTTTTTTCTTCAATTTTATTTCTTCAGACGCTTTTAAAGCTCCAGAAAGGCCTGTTTCAAAACCATTCCGTTTAAGTATCGGGGATGTTTTTAAAGGGCTAACTTCTGGTGTGTGTATTTCTGGTCGAATTGAATCAGGCGCTGTACAGTTAGGTCAAAAGCTCATCGTAATGCCTTCAGGTGAACAAGCAGTCGTCAAAGGTAATAGTGATTTAATTTTTTATTTAATTTAACAATGAGTCTCAGTTATTGATAATTTATTTGATCTTTAATAGCCATTTCCGTGGATGATAATCCTTTAACTCAAGCATTTGCCGGTGATCAAATCGCCTTAACATTAACTGGTTGTGATGTTGCTAATATTGCTACTGGTAATATACTTTGTGATTTAACTGACCCTTCACCAGCTACAACTCGTTTCCTGGCTAAAATTGTTGTATTCAACAATGTTCAAGTTCCATTAACTAAAGTAAGGTTTTGGTTAATTCCTATTTTCCAACAATGAAATAACATTTTATGTCTTTTAGGGAGTTCCTGTTGTATTGCATTGCAAAAATTTACAAGAGCAAGTCACCATCAGAAAACTTGTTTCACAAGTGAATAAAAGTACCGGACAAGTGATGAAAGCAAAGCCTCGATGTTTACCTTCCAATACAAGTGGAATCGTAGAAATTGAATCATCCAGACCCATATCAATCGAACTATACCAGGAATACAAAGATCTCGGACGTATTATGCTTCGGTCTAGAGGGACTACTGTGGCCGCTGGTTTGGTCGTGCAGGTAAATACGTGTTCCATTTCAATCCTCATTTCTCAACAACTCATTCATCGATCTTTAGTTAATCTAAATTAACTGAATAAATATTTGATTAGCTTTCATTTTGAGAATGTCAAATATTTAAACAGAATCTGTCTGGGTTTTTGATACATTTAATTTAGTAACTTTTTTCCGATCAGAATTAATCAATGCTTTTTTTCTTGTTTCTCAAACAGATTTTATGAATATCTAATGGTCAATCTTTTAACTGTTTAATATTGTAAATGATTACGGAACAAATAATTTACAATGTAACTTGTTTTTCATTAATGCTTCCCTTACCTGTTCAATTTGTTTTTTTCTTCTAAATGAAATATCTTGGTTCAAGATTATTATTAATTACAATTGCATCACTAAACCTATTTGAGCCAATTATTTGATTTCAAACCATCTCTCATCATCAAACGTAATAGCATTAGTTGAGATTGATATTGTTGAAATTAAAATAGGATTATTTTACGGATCAAATCAGATGAGAAAAACTAAACTCAATTTACTTTTGTTTCTGCACTTTTTTGGCTCAATCAGTACATCCATCAACCCTGTGCCAACATCAAACCGATTTTTTATACTTCTTGATAAAAGGCTGTTGAGTTGCCATTGATTAGTTTGGTGATCAAAATCAGCGTAAATTAGTATAGCTAATCAGCAACATTTAATCCGTGCAAACAACGTTTGAGAAAAAAGTTGACAATCGACAGTAAATTCCTCAAAACGAACCAAATAAAATGATTTATCTATCATGTAAATCCGGATATCAGCAATATAACGCGTCTCTTACTTGATTTATATCTGCAATCACATCAAAATCTATCTATATTTAACGGAAAATGTTCATGATTGTAAATCGTACAGAAAAAATTTAATGTAAACTAACTTGATAGCGCATATAAATTTGTAATTCAAGTTTTGTATTGAATAAAATTGATCTTAATTTGCAAGACTAAATGAATTGAATTTATTGAATTGCTCTTAAAAATGATCTGTTAAAAGATAAGTATATCAATAGATGGCGACTTGAGGTGAAAGGTAACGGGAATGAAAAATAGCGTAAAAATTGGTAACCGGTTTACTTGATTTACACTTGATTTTTACCTTTATCAAGTCAACCAGCAACTTTACCTGGACTTCTCCCTAATCTTCCTCTTCATCATCATTTTCATCTTGTTCTGTACTTCAGTTGAACAAGCAACTAAAGCCAAGTTACCTTTTTTGTTGAATGTGTGCTGTGAAAGTTTATATCTCCGCTTTGGATTAACATTCATTGTTTATCAAAGAGACTTTAACATTCTGTGATTGTCAACCATTCTAATGGATTATTAATATTGTGAATTAAATTGATTGTCATTTTTCATCATAAAACTCATTGGTAATACGACTGTATTACTGTCAAAATCTTGAAACGAAATGCGCTCTTTATATTTACTTGCCATTACAAGAGTCTTATAATAGCATTTCATTAACGCTAAACTAATCTGTGTACTTTTTTGACCATTTGTCATCTCTGTCAACTTACCAACAATTAAACCTTCAATTATATAATCTATTGGTCCATCAAAAGTTGATTTAAATCCAAATTACAAGTGATACTCAGTATCAATCGGAAAAAAAGTAGTTGAAGCAAAACATTGTATCATCTTTTGACAAACAAAGCGGACAAACAACTGACAAGATGGAGGCAACCAAACGAAACGGAAGCCCCGGAGGAATCTTATATGATCCAGGAACCCCTGAACACTTTAATTATTACCATTATCAGGCCAATTATTTGCGAAATTCTCGAGCCATCGGTGTTTTATGGGCCGTATTCACCATGTGCTATGCCATTATCAATTTTGTTGTCTTTGTACAGCCTCAATGGCTTGGTGACACCGAAACCAGTAAAGGCACAGGTTACTTTGGATTATGGAAATCTTGTCGTCTCCTTCAAGATGGACAAGATTTAATTTGTGAAGGCAGATTAGATGATATAAGCAGCATACCAACACCAGCTTTCCGAGCTGCAACGGTATTTGTGGGCCTCTCTGTGGTCATCATTACTCTTTGCTTATGTTCATTTGTGCTCTTCTTTTTTCTTCACTCATCAACCGTCTTTCACATTTGTGGCTGGCTTCAAGCCTTCAACTGTAAGTAATCAATAAATAACCCAATCAACCCAAAAATACCCGATTCTATCATAAACACTGATCACCATTATCACCACTTCAAACCTAGTCCATAAACAAGTCAATATTTATCCAATCCTTGATGTTGCACCATTGTTTAACCAGGATTAACCCAATTTTTTGAATTATTTTTAAATCATCTTCAATGTTATTCTCGCTTTTAGACCAATATTTCTCTGTGTGTTCAATCATTTCCCAGCATTTATGAGAATCATGTTAAGTAGCCTCAAGATCGGGTTACCTTTTGTTTATCCATCTATTTATTTATAATACTTTTGCTTTCATTCGTGGTATTACCTGTAATATTATCAGTTAAAATTGAAAGGTTATTTTTAATCGAGAGCTTTTCTAAATGAATGTAAGTCAGGTAAAGATGAAAAAGTTAACATAATTTGATTGTTTGTTTTGCAAGAATCAAAGACTGAATATAATCTGCAACTTTTAATAATAATCACTCTAATCATATGCATAAATACAATTTGCTTGTGTGTATTGTTAGTTATCATTATAATTCCGGATAGCTGCACAATCATGAGTCAAATTATGTTTACCTTATTATAAGTTTATGATTAGTATCAATTGTTGAATAGAGAAAGGTTGAATTACATTAAATCCTTATGGGTCATGGAATCATTTATATATTGCTCATTGTAATAATCTAATTAACTGATAACAATCAACACACAAGAAACTTTAATGTCCATCTTCATCAAAGGCCAACACAATTAACATACAAACACACACAGAAATAAAAGATGAACAATTAACCTTCCAAAAATAGCATTTAAAATTTGATTCTTTACTGAATCTGGTCACAACCAGATCAAAAAAACAAATCAAATCCAAAACAGAAACAATTGACCAGCAAAAAAATGAAACAAACTGATCAATTGTCAATGGTGATGATGATAATTTAGTATGATTGGGTTCTGATCATTTTAAACATTTTATTTTTAGATTAACGCCAATTAGATTGCAATTGAAATGACACTTAAATCCATTTTTACCAGATTTTATCATCACTTAAAGCCATCAAAAGTGTTTCATCGCCAAGTCAAGTGTTGCCCAAAAAACACCAATTTTAGGTGATTTAAGATATTGAATTGTCTAGATGTTGAAGCTGTTGGATTTTAATGTTAAAGAATCGAGTCAAATCATCTGAATAGTGTTTGAATCTTACAATAATCATGAAGAATGTGTTATTTAAATGAACAATTTCACAAAACAATCACTTTTCTTTGACCAGTTTTAACCTCAAATATTAGCTGTTAATTTTTAGGCAACAATTTAAACCTTCTATTTGAATAAACTACATTTGAGTGAAAAAAAATTTAATGATAAAGTTACATGTTAAATGGCCTTAAATGGGAATTATCAGGCAAAAATTCACTAAACTCATCTTGAATTAAATTTCAACCTTTAATACACTGACTTGATTCCAGTCACAATAATAATTTATATAAAAGCTCTTCTTTCATTTAACTTAATTTTCTCATCGGAATAATGAATAATAACTTATAATCAATTGATTGATTGAACAATTTAAATTGTTTAATTATAACAAAGTTCAATTTTTACCCTTCAATGAAAAAAAAGTTCAATCTCAACCATCTTCATCTCAAGGTGAACTTATCACCAATATCAGTAAAGTGTGTTTTCTGGTTAAACCTTGTTTATCCAAAAATTTCACAGTTAATCATCATCAAAGTTAATAGCTAATTCATTGATCATTTCAATAACCTTAAGATTGTTAACAATTTAACAATCAATGCCCGAGGAAGAGTAAAGCTTGGAAAAGCTTAACCTTAGATTGTTAGCTTCTAAATCATTTAGGCGTTGGTTTAAATATTGACTTCAATTAAATATTTTAATTACAATTTTAAGATCAAAATATTATCATCAAGAGTATCATAATCATACCGATCATGAAGCAAAATACGCAAAAATCTAATCAACCAGTGTTTGGGTCAATGTAGGAAACGATCCAAATTGACCTCAAGCCTTAATGTTGTTCAATTAATTGCTCTTCATTCCTAAATCATCAGAAAATGATTAAAAAATTATCTTTAATAATTGAATTTGATGGCAAAACTAGAAAAAACAAAAGGTAAATAAACTTAACCAGAAAAGTGAACTTATTGGTTACCCAAAACTCAACCTAAACCTAAACCTTTTATTTACCTTTTTGTTCAATCAAATTGTATTCAATCAAAATGTAATCATTATATTAATCAATTTAAAAGTTCCGTAAATTGTTCTTTTTGTTTTTTACCCAACATTTTAAATATTAATTCATCATTTGATTGTTTTTGCGTTTTATCGTCCATATCATCTTTAATTATAAATATGATTTCCTTAATTTACGTTTCCTTCACTTTCATTGTTAATCTTTATTTTCCTAATTTTTTCAATTCAATTGAATGGAATCAGATGAAATGATTAATCTTCTGGTCAACCAACTTCAACTAATTGACCTTCCGTAGTTAAAGACAATAAACAAATTGCGATTAATCAAAAAGGTTTACCCATTACAATTTTCATTCTCAATGACAATAAAGACTTTCTTTTAAACTGTATTCAAAGTGATCATCTCAAGTCTAATCATTACGATCATCATTGCAATTAACTTGATGATGATGATATTCAAAGAAGCCACAAAAGCCTTTTCTTTATTACAATTATACCTTCACAATCAAAAAGACGGAAAGTAAACAATTAATCAAACAAAAGTAAAGAGTAAAAAAGGTTTAACCATTTTTCAATGAACAACAATATTTTCCCTTTAAAATAGCCATCATTTGAAGGCACAATTTAGCCCATCTCACACCCTAAACACATTGACCTTTCACTATCAGGAATCAAAAATCAATTGAAATGGACCAACAATTAACCGTTAATCTTTCAAATCATTAACCAATAAACATTGCAACATTTTCACCCTTAACTTATTAACTATTCAATGTTTTTCAATGTTTCATTGTTTAACCTTTTTTTTGAAGCTCATTTACCTTCACCAAATTATCAACACCAGCTAAATGGTTAAACATTTAATTGTATTTAAATGGTCTTTCTAATTGTTGTAATGTTGCTAATAATGATGATCAAATTGACCCCTATTTGGTTGACCATTATACTTGAATATCGTGATTAACTAATCCTTGTTGATTAACCCAGAGTTTAGAGTTTCATTTACAAGGTTTAGGTGAAAGTTTATTGTAAAAATTGGACAAATCATGAACTTTTAACTTGAAAAATGAAAACAAAAAATATCTTTTGTCAATTTTGGGTTTTATTGTGAAAATGATATCAGAACTTTTCTCAGTGAAAACCTGAGCCTGATGGTGATGAAAACTTTAATAATAACAACAATGAAAAGTCAAACTTGAACATTGAATACTTTGTTTCTCATTCATGTGTTCACATTAATATTACCATGAAAAGTAAAACTTTCATCTTCAACTTTTCTCAAGGAAAAATGACTTTTTCTTGTTTTGTATTGTTGTGCTTTCATCAGTGAAACTCAATTGGAAACGATCTCAATGATAAATAATGAAATGCTTTGATTATTGTCAATATTTTTCACCATTTTTCACTTATATTGCAGTTTTTGTTTCATCTTTTTTCTTCACTGGTTTTTTTGTTGTCCATTTTACATTCATTTTAGGTGAGGTCAACCAATTTTAACTTGTTTACTGTTTTATTTTCACTCCAACTGGCAACTCTGATTTATCTTGACTTGCCATTAATCACAATTATAATAACAATTGCTGTGATTGCTGAGCCTTTCACTCAATTGTAACACACAATTTAATGACCACAATGGTGACACTTAAAAGTCGTCATTTTTATCCGTTACAATTAAAAGTAACTTTCATCTTGTACAATTATCTTATTAAATTTTATTAAAAGTACGTGATAAGAAATTGAATGTTCAACTAATTATGACCATTCAAGTAAATGTTTGATCATTGTTTGATATTTTGTACCTTTAGACATCGCATTAATTCATTGCTCGATTCGTATTTTCAATGTCTTTTTGAACATCAAAAGCAAATATTAGACAAATTAAAGGTAAAGTGTCAATTTAGTCAATAAAAGGTCAAGTTCAAGACCAAATTTTCGATTCATATTCATTCTCTTTTTGTTCAACTCGATACAAAAAATGTCTTAATCAGGCGACTTCAGCATAATACATTCGATTAAAGATTAGTTTTCAAAGAACGATTGAATTCATTAAAATGTCTATTTATCAGAAAACAGTTTGCAGATCAATTTATGCGAATCGAGTTGGCAGATGTTAGAAAAGAAACAAAAGTGTCGAATCTCGTAGCGAAATCGAAATCGCAATTACGATTTAAGTAGCTAAACCAACCAGTAAAAGTATATTTAATGAACGTTCATCTCAACTTTATTTTACTTCAATTGCCTTGTATTTTGTTGAAGTCATTTAAGTCTAGAATAGCTCTTTGACTAGGAAGTTGACTGATCCTGATAAACATTTTTTCATGCTAATGTCAAACTGAAGCAGACTGACCTGACTAAAGGTTATATTGATCAAAGTGATAAAATTTGACTGACAATCCTGTTGAAACTTGAATCAAGTTCACTTAAGGTTTGGTGACTTTAACCGTCCAACGATTGACACTCACAAGACCTTAGGATCGTCATTAGTGGCTCCTGTGATTGAAGACTTCAATATTTTTGCAGGTTTTCCTCTTACACTGACATTTCAACTCTATTCAAAGCTATAACCTGGTTATTTTGCAAGAAAGTGATGAACATTAAAAGATGGCCAAAGTTGATTTGATCTCTATTTTAGCATCAAAAGCAATCATGGAACATTAATTGAAAAATGATAAAGAATAAAATTGAATCTCGACGATTTTGATTGAAACAATTGATCAGGAAAGTGCAAGTTTAAAAAGATTGGCAAAAAACTGTTTCACATTTGATTCAACTTG